CATTGTTGTTTGGCGGGACTGGGCTGGGGATTCGAACCCACCACCTTAGGTGTACGTGGCTGGCGCCTTAGCCAGTTGAGCTATAGGCGCCGAGCCCAGAGGTTAATTTTTAAGACTCTCTCTATCTGATTCTTGGCTTATTTTTATTATTTTATTTTATAGTTTTTTTTTTTTTTTGAGGTGCAGTTTTACTATGGCGCCCTTGATAAAGTGCTGTGACGTCACAGCTCACAGCAACCTCAAACTCTTGGGTTTAAGTGATTCTTTTGCCTCAGCCTTCCAAGTAGCTGGGCCTGTAGGCACCCGCCATAACACCTGCCTATTTTTTTGTTGTTGTTGCAGTTGTCATTGTTGTTTAGCTGGCCCAGACTGGGTTCGAACCCGCCAGCCTTGGTGCATGTGGCTGGGGCCATAACCACTGTGCTGTGGGCCAAGCCTCTTGGCTTATTTTTACTTTTTCACTTTGCGCAATAACCGTAGTTCTCTAGCTTTCTTTGTGGTCTATTCTGTAGACTTCACACTTGAGAACAGGTAGCCGTCATTTTCCTGAGTTAACAAATTCAGGGGGAAGTCACATAACCCTGACAAGTGGCTCTGTTACCGACTCAGTTTTTTCCTTGATGCTCAGTAATTCTCAGTCTGTTTTAAGTTTCCTACTGTCACCTAACCAACTTTTCCGTCTCTTCCATTTTATAAAACAAACCAAAAAACTACTCCTCAGTTCTGTATGTTCTCCTGCCCACTTGTATCAGACATTCCTCTTTCCCTTTCTCTTCACCAGGAAGGATCCTGTTTCTACATCAGTTCTCACTCTTCAAAAGAGTTTTCTATCATACTTCCTCCCTCTCCTTCACTCCCAGCTCACAGCAGTCTGAGTGCAGCTCTCATTATTTCCTTGACACCACTTTGTCAAAGGTCAACAGTAAATAACCTCTTTGTAATTAAAATCAATGGGTGTTAGTTTTTATCTTACTTGGCTTTTTGGTAGCTTTTGATCTCAAACCTTGCTTCCAGAGGCATTTACCAGCCAGGGCATCGGCTCAGTTGCTAACTCACTCTATTTAATCAAGCACAAATTCATTTATTTAATACTAAAATTCATTATTTAATACTTAAAAATTAATTGAGTATTTGCTCTATGGCAGGCAAGGTTTTAAGCAGAAGGAATACTGAAATAGCCAAAATAAAGTCTCCTTTTTAGTCTACTGAAGAGAAAACTGATAGTAATACATAAAGATATAAGTCACACGGTGATTTAAGTGTTAAAAAGAAAAATAATACAGGTTACATCAAGCTGATTGAAAGAACCAGACATAAGAGTTCATATTGACTTCATTTCTGGTAAGTTCTAGAACTGGGAAAACTAACCTACAGTGGAAAAAATCAGAGTAGTGATTGCTTCAATAGTGGGCTTGAGACAACTTTCTGGGGTGATGGTCGTACTCTGTCACTTGATAAAAATTGGGTTATACGGATGTATGCATTTGTCAGGACTTGTCAAAATGGCACATGGGTCATTATGCAAGTTTTGAGAAACATAAAAGTCAAGAAGTGTAAAATCCCTGCAGATGGAAATAAATGAGGCCCTCCCAGCAACGCCGATAAGCTGAGCAAGTTGAAGCGAGCCCAGGTAAATCAGAAAGGATGCTGTCAGCTGTTTCTTGGAAGTGAGATAATGGATCATTTCACAGTCTGTCTCAACACTTTTGCAGTGACCTATGTTCATTTAAGACTTCTACTTTTTTATCTATGTAAACTTTACCTAAAAAAATGTAAACAAATATTGAAACTGAAGTGCTGAAGTACAAAAGTACTAATGTCTGCAGGTCTCTGGAATTCATTTAAAAAGTGAATGAGAGATAAAGAGATGGATACAGTAAGTATCCTTCTTACTAAGTACAGTAAGATGTCAATTACAGAATCTAATAGTTGGAATATGGGTTTTCACTGTAAAACTCCTTATAATTTTCTGTATGTTTATACATTTTCATCAGAAAATTATGTGGGAAAATGAGGCAGGGTAAGCGGATGGAGAGAGAGGCACTTGATTTGGACAGGAGACTCAAGACAGGCTTCTAGAATGAGTCAATATACGGAGAAACCTGAGTATGAATCTATTCAAGGAATAACAAGAGCTAGAGCAAATGCAAAGGCCCTTAGGGAAGACCACCGTCTCTACCCTAGCATACTGTGCTGCAGGGCTGGAGCTATATGTATACACCACCCTGGTGGGTGTCATGTAGTACTGTGTCTTGTGGTACTGCGTGTCTCAAGGCCCTCCAAACAGAGAATGCTATCTCTTCAATCTTTTCCCCCAAGTCCCATATACTGTAATCATTATTTCAGTCAAATATTCCACCACCCAGCTGCCTAAACACTATGGAAGGTCAGGGAGAGATTCAGGACCTATTTTTAAGGACCTATTTTAATCTCTTAAGCAATGCAATACTAATACACTAATCCCAATTTTCCCCTGACACTTTAGATTAGATTTAAATATGCAGGATTTGTTTTTTCACCTACATATCTCTATAGAAAGTGAATTGAAATTAAAAGTGTGGGGAATAAAGGATTATTTAACAAAACCATTTCAAGCAACAGTTCTCAGGCTGGCTGAGAACCAAGCCATGGTGGCCTTGAGTGAGCTAATCAGAAGGCAGGTGCATCGGATAGACCACCTAATGAGCCTGAACATACTGATTCAAGATTTTTGAAGCTGGAAGAGTAGTTAGAGTTCATGGACTGATTATGAGAAATGATACATAAAAATAGCAAAGGTACCATTACCAGGAAATTTTTAAAACTTGATCAAGTTTTTAGATACTCATTTGTGTTTGGTAGATAAACTTTCTATAGATAAATAGCCTCTTAGTATATAAGTATTTCAGGGTCTTTCAAATTAAATTCCATTTTTAAATCCTCCCTTTGGACTTCTTATAGAAACAAATGAAGTGAATCTTAACTTTCAGAGATGATTTTTAATGAAATGCTTTATAAAGACTATCTAGATTTTTACAGTTCACAATAGCATGAATGTGCCAGTGTAGGATTTTATGCCAAAGTGATTTCTAATAGATAAGTTTCATAATTTCTGTGGTCCTGAATCTGTTGAAACTTGTAAATCTTTATTGTTTAGGGTTATGACTTAAGCATTTTTAAATATTTTTGTGTATTTGCCACTTTAATTATGTATATGTGGGTACAGCCTAGTTTAAAGAATCACTTTAATACATATGGTCATTGTGTATGTAAAAATAACTTAAGGGCTCTTTAATCAAAGGTTAGTTGAGTTCCTGCATTTAAGATAAAGGAAAATAATTTTCATTTTTTTTCTATTTTAAAATTGAAAACAAGAGTTTTTAATTTAGAAATAATCAGAGTTTTTTGTTAAATTTTTCTTTTATTCCATATTAAGACCAAGGAAGAAGAAGGAAATCAGAGTGGGAAAAATGAGAGATTGAGAGTCTTCAAGATAAAACAGGAAAGATAAAATCATGGTGTCCCTTAATTCCAAGGCCTACCATGACCAAGAGAGGGAGAGATGTGCACGGAAAGAAGATTCTATATGGCATATAAAAGAAAGAATTTCCATGGAGCAGTGTTGTCACAAACTTCCTGAAGGCGATTTCTGATAAAAAAAACTTTTAGATGTATATTTTTGAAATTACGAGAGAGGCTCGATGCCTGTGGCTCAAGTGGTTAAGGCACTTAAGGTGGCTGGTTTGAATCTAGCCCTCCCGCCAAAAAAACAACAATGACAACTGCAACCAAAAAATAGCCGGGTGTTGTGGTGGGTGCCTGTGGTCCCAGCTACTTGGGAGGCTGAGGCAGGAGACTTGCTTGAGCCCAGGAGTTGGAGGTTGCTGTGAGCTGTGATGCCACTGCACTCTACCCAGGGGGACAGCTTGAGGCTCCTGTCTCAAAAAAAAATAAAAGAAATTACAGGAGAAATGGTTATGTTACTTCATTAACTAACATTTTGTGCCTTGGACTTGGTATTAGCCTGAAAGTTCTACTTTCCTTTTTTTGTTTGAGACACAGTCTCACTATGTCGCTCTCAGTAGAGTGCCATGGCGTCACAGTCACAGCTCACAGCAACCTCAAACTCTTGAGGTTGCGTGATTCTCTTGCCACAGCCTCCCAGGTAGCTGGGACTACTGGCACCTGCCACAATGCCTGGCTGTTCTGTTGTAGTTGTTGTTTAGTAGGCCTATGCCAGTTTCGAACCCTTCAGCGCCAGTGTATGTGGCTGGTGCCTTAGCCATTGAGCTACATACGCCGAATCTGAAAGTTATACTTTAGATTAAATTTCTGTTTTATAATAATTTGAAATTCTGTAAATTAATGACTTTTCATGATTTTATGTATTCTGTTCCTTTTATGATAATGATATGTACTATTTGAGTTTCCAATACTGTAATGAAAAGGGAATTATTAAGAGGTTCAAAAAAGGAATTAAGAGGTGAGAAAACACCTTTATAGAATAGCTTTATTTGTTTATTTAGAGATAAGGTCTTGCACTGTTGCCTACGCTGGAGTGCAGTGGTGCAATCATTGGTTGTTGTAAGTTCAAATTGCTGGGCTCAACCATTCTTTTCACCTCAGTCTCCTGAGTAGCCAGGACTTCAGATGTGCACCATTATATCTGGCTCATTCTAAAAATTTTTTGTAGAGGCAGGATCTCACTATGTTGCCCAGGCTGCTCTCAAACTCCTGGCCTCCCAAAGAGCTGGGATTCTAAGTATGAGCTACTGTGCCCAACCTATCTAACTTTTTAAGTAAAGGTTATCTGTAATTTTTCTGATAATAAGGAGGAATCGTTTTTTAGATTGTCCTAGTTTATTGTTTTTTAATGTTACTTTTATATTTTTATTAAAGGTGGGAACAGAGAAAAGATCCTCATGGTAGAACCTACTATGTGGATCATAACACTCGAACTACCACGTGGGAGAGACCACAACCTTTACCTCCAGGGTAATGTAGCATCTTTATGCATCTTCGGTTATATTTTATCACAAATGTAGTTTTTAAATGTATTTAATATAGCATAAGTTGATTTTTTTTCATTCTATATATATTGTCTCCTTAATATACTTTCATTCTACTTATATTAAGTCTCCTTTGATTTGCTTATATAAATAATTACTGTTCAGTAAATGAAATTATATAATCTGAAGGGCTTCTTCTCTAGACTGTCAAACATTGGCATGGGTTACAGAGAGAAGTTGCAAGATTTTGGTCCAAATTCTGTCATCATTATTTTTTAAGGAAGGAAAGATACGTTTAGGATAATTGGTATGTAGTATGGTTCATTATATGTAGTGATCTAAACCGTTATAAAATTTAATCGCATAAGAAATATTAGGGTGATTCATGATTATCATCTACAGTGATGGCTACAAGTAAGCTTGTATTACATTAAACATAAAATTATAAAGGGCTTTAAATTAATAAAAACATTTTTATTATATACTAAAGTTTATGCTGCTCTTCAGAGCCATTCACAAAATGATCTTCCTTTACGTTTGTAATTTTTTATAATCCTTTTTGCGTATTATACTAATAGCTAGTTGAATTACACTATTTGCCTTCCCCACAGACATTCTACCTGTACTTAAAATATATTCAGAATATCGGTTCTTTTTATTTTTTTTCCTTAGGAAAAAAGTCATACTTTATTGCCCTTGGTAGAGTGCTGTGGCATCATAGCTCATAGCAACCTCCAATTCCTGGGTTTAGGCAATTTTCTTGCCTTAGCCTCCTGAGTAGCTTGGTACTACAGGTGGCCGCCACAACACCTGGCTATTTTTTGTTGCAGTTTGGACGGAGCTGGGTTTGAACCCGCCATCCTTGGCGTATGGGGCTGGTGCCCTACTCACTGAGCCACAGGTGCCGCCCCAGAATATCAGTTCTTCAGACTCAGCTTAACACATTAACTGACATGTGAATTATTTCAGATTTTCACTTTACGTTTTACATTATTGATTATCACATTTTTATGTTACTTTTTTATGGACGTATATTTTAGGGCTTTTTTGTTTTTGAAGTTTTACTTTATTTTATTTATTCTTTTGAGACAAGTCTCACTTTGTCACTCCTGGCAGACTGCCATGGTCTCATAGCTCACAGCAACCTCAGACTCTTGGGCTCAAGTGATTCTCTTGCCTTAGCCTCCCAAGTAGCTGGGACAACAGATGCCTGCCACAATGCCTGGCTAGTTTTTAGAGGCTGGTCTCGCTCAAGCTGAGGCTGGTCTCAAACTCATGAGTTTAGGCAATCTACCCGCCTTTGCCTCCCAGAGTTTCTGGGATTACAGGTGTGAGCCACTGCACCTATTCCCTGTTTTCAAAGTTTTTATTCTATTTTTATAATGAAATACCATGGCCTCAAGGAAAAACTATTTTTTTTTCTAGTGTGTGTTAAAGTCCACCAATGTAATACATATTCAAAGTCCAGAAAATTCAAGGCAGGGAGTGTGTATATTTGTGAGATATTTCTCTTTTATAGAATAAAGTACTCAGGCTTTGGCCCTATAATATTAAATACCAGTAGAAAGCGTGGTTTCAGTACTGCAAGCCATGAAGTTCATTTTAACTACAACGGGACCACTGAGTTACAGTAATTCATTTAGTCCAGTCGATAAGTACCATGGGCTTTATTTCACTGAAACTGATGCCCAAGAATTAAGCAGAGACTATCTTTAATTTTGTCTTTAGAGCCTATTATGTTCTTTGTTTCCCCATTGTATTTTTAGTGATAAATTTGTAGAAAGAATTTAGAATTGACTGCTGAAAGGACCTGAGATCATTGTATAAATTCATGACAAAAATTGGTTTTCTAGATCTCAGGTGTTTGGGAGAGGTGGGAGTTGAACTGAACCCTGGAAGTGCTAGTTGAGAAATTGGGACAAGTATTCTGATCAGAGGGGGTATTGAAAGACATAACAAAATGAAACACATGACACCCTTGGAACCTGCAGTAGTTGATTGGCTCCCATGTGGGGCCTTTGCAGGATTGCAAGGAGATGAGGTTGAAAGTGGACAGGTTTGTCTTAAAAATCTGCCCTAAGAAAACAGTCACCCCAATTAAGAGTGGCAAACGGTGTATCTGAAAGGACACTCACCAGAGAAGACAGGAGCTGGAAGACAAGCATGAAAAGAGGAAGGACATAATCTGTTATCAGAGACATGCAAATTAAGAAGATACCAGCAGACTCTTATTAGAACGATTTGTAATCTAAAACCCTGGACATCAAATGCTGGTGAAGATGTGAAGTAGCAGAAACTCTCATTCATTGTTGGTGGGAATGCAAAATGATGCAGCTTCTGTAGGAGACAACATGGCAGTTATTTTTGCACAGCTAAACATGGTCTTGCCATATGATACAGTAACCACCCAAATGAGATAAAAAATTATGTCCATACAAAAACCTACACACAAGTGGTAATAGCAGCTTTATTTGTAATAGCTCAAACTCGAAAATGTCTCAGATTTTCCTTAATAGGGGAATGCATTAAAAAAAAAAAACTGTGCTATCCATACCTTGAAATACTATTCAGCAATAAAAAGAAATCAGCTCTCCATCTACAAAAAGCAGCGAACTATCATGTCACATAAAGACGTGGAAGAATCTTAAGTGTATATTTGTAAGTGAAAGAAGCCAATCTGAAAAGGCTGCATAATGGATGATTTTAACTATATGATATTTTGGAAAAGGCAAAACTATAAAGATAGTAAAAAATCAGTGGTTTCCAAGGATTTGGGACTTTGGGGGGAAGAGGAGAGGGATGAATAAGGTGGAACATATGGGATTTTTAGAGCAGTGAAACTATTCCATATGATAGTCATGGTAATGTATGTTGTTCTGCATTTGGCAAAACCCATAGAATGTTCAGCAGAAGAACGAGCCCTGATGTAAGCTGTGGACTTTAGCTAATGATGATGGATTGATACTGGTTCATCAGGTGTAACAAACACACCCCACAGTGCAAGATGTTAACAATAGGGGAGACTGCTGTTAGAGTGGGGTTGGAAGAGGGGGTGTAGGGGAATTCTGTTTACTTGCTGTTCATCTTTCTGTAAACCTAAAACTTCCCTAAACATAATGTCTATTAATTTTGGAAAAGCCACAGAAATTAAAAAAAAAAAAAGGGAATGGGTTCGTTTTTATGCCTTGCTAGAGAGCCATATGATAGATGGAGTGACGTGATTCCATCTGCACTTCAGGATGATAACGAGCAGCAATATAATAGCAGGAGTGTGAGATAAAAAGTCATAAAAAGAGTACCGTTTAAATCCTGAACGTGGGCAGTGGCCATAAGGCAGGTTGCCTGGTTTAAAGCAAGTACTCGGAGAAAATGCTTCTCATAATAAGAGGAAGAAAGGGCAGGTACGCTGATCCTGAAACCTCTTGTTTAGACAGTGTTTAGAATAGCGGTAGAATGGGAAGGTAATTTAGCTAAAATAAATGGTTTATATTTTCATAGAGTTTCTGAAAATATAAATATTGATGTGCTGCGCAAGCTTCTCATATCATGTCTCGGACTTGATATTTAAATTATTTGAGTGAAGTATTAACTGCCTTTTTGTTTCTTCTATCAAGACCTTATTGTTTACTTTAATTATCGTTTATTCACTTGCGGTAGTTGGGAAAGAAGAGTTGATGATCGTGGAAGGGTTTATTATGTGGATCATAACACCAGAACGACAACTTGGCAGCGGCCTACCATGGAGTCTGTCCGCAATTTTGAACAGTGGCAATCTCAGCGGAACCAATTGCAGGGCGCTATGCAACAGTTCAACCAGCGATACCTCTATTCGGTAATTAGCAAATTTTAAGATGTTAACGGAACTTTTTCCCTCAGGCATTTGCCCTTTTCAACCTTAGTGATTTTTTAAAAATCACTGCATTTTTAGACTGCATTACTGCATTACAAGGTAATTTTTAGTTAGTCTTTAATAAATAATTAGTATTTCTGTTATCTGTAAGAAACTATTATACATTCAGTTTTATTTCTTTATTAAAGAGTAGTTTTATAAATGCATTTTTTAATAAAATAATATCTTTACCAGTTCCCATTCCTCCACCTTTAATTGTAATAATTTTGTTTCCTTTAAAAAAAAGAAAAACATTTATCTTACAGTTTTTCTTAAGGTCGGTGTTACAATGTTCTAGCTATTCTGATTTCCTCCCTGTAAACAACACTGTCATCACCAAAGGTATCACCAGGATTAGAGTTACTTTTGTTTACGAAATCTTACTCTGTCTGCCAAATTTATCATTTGGTGCCATAAGCAAACAATCCATAAGGAGAGTGGATAAAGCAAGCAAATGTGAAAAACAAAAAGAACACCTCTAATAAATGGGTTGATCATAGGAGGTGGAAAAGATAAACTTTAAGTACTGGGCACCTGTAGTTAGTGTTTTGAGGCAACTTAAGGAAACCCAATGTACAAGCTAAATACGTAAGTCACTACGAAAGTTTTGAAACAGACTAAGTTATGGTCCATTATTTCACTTGCAAGAAGTCAGTTGACAGCAGCGTCCTTTCTGATTCACCCGGGGGAGTTTCCACTTGTTCGGCTTAGTGGTGTTGCTGCGAGGGCTTCATTTGTTTCTGTCCACCTGGATTTTATGTTTCTTGATTTTTACGTGTTTCAATCTTTTCGTAATACCCCATTTATAGAAAAGAAGTAGGAAAGGGACATAGAAAGAATACTGTAATACCTTTTTTCAGAATCCTGCTCAGGCAGGCTCTTTCAACTCCTTTTTTTTTTTTTTTTTTTTTCTTCAGAGATTGGATAAGAAACTCTCATTCGTAGGTTGACCCACTCTCCTGGTTATCTGTGACCAGCAGACAGCAAGTGGGCAACCCAGTTTCCTTGGCTTCTCTTGCTGCCTGCTGGGCATTGCTGGTTCTTGGTGACTTTTATGGAAATCTTTGGTAGGGTTCCAGTTGAGTTACATATAGTAAACAAGAAAATATGTAGTGTGCGTTTGTTTTTGATTGGACTTAACCTGTACCCATTGTAAACCTTGGAGAAACAGGGCAGAATTAGGTAATAGGTATATGTCAGAAGTATGTTTTCCCACAAATGAAAGACTATCCTTAAATGGATTGAGGTTTAGTCATCTCAGTACAATACCAAGTGTGGGTAAGAGTCTGGGACAAATATTACATTGGGTCAGTAGTGCCATCATGTACCCAAGTTCTTTCTGGCTCTTTGTTCCACCATCCTTATGCTTCAAGGCTGTTACTTAAATCATGTGGCGCTGCTGCCACCCCCACCCCCCGGCCTCACTTTCACAGTCTTGGCTTAAAGAAAGGGTCATGAAATTTGAAAGGGGAGATGACTTTGTTCTAGCAAGCCCTTGCCTTCTCTCTTAGAAGAGAGTAGCTTTACCATGGCTTTATGCCTGTACCTGTTGGTACAGGTGGTCTCTCTACCAACTCAGCTGCATGGGGCTCAGGGAATAGAATGTTCTTCAAAGATACTTTGCTATCTTAAACAAAACAGTGATTTGGTTCTCAGTAAGTGGAAGAAAATTGATATTGAATATAATTAACAATATCTGTTACAAGATTATATTTATCTAGTTCCTTATATGTATCATTAACAAATTTTTCAGGTAATGACTTATGTATTTGTTATTTTAGAATTCATGATACAATGTTTCTTTTTTCTTCAGAATCTGTTACTAGGTTATGATAATATATAAGTATACACAAAAATGTGTTTATGTGTTATATATATATGTGAATATATTAAATAATACTAATTAAGGTAAAAATTTATTTCCATAAAGATAATGCTGGAGTTTAATATGGGTTTATTAACAGGCATTTGTTTTAAAGAACACTATGATAATTGTTCCACTTTTTAACCATAAAATTTCCTCATTTAAGCACCATAATTTTCTGTACACTCTTTTTCCCTTCTTGTCTTGCCCCTATGAATTATGATGGAAGGAGTAGGCATTAAAATACTGATATCAGTGTATTAATAAATAATTTTAGGAAAACTAATAATTTTATCAATTGCTTGGCTCTTCATGACATTTTAAGAACTTTGTGTCTTGAAATTGCTGAATTCCCACATTCCCTTATATTTTTAAAAATGTGATAACTGCCAAGTGTTCAGTTTATTTCTGCTTTTGTAGTAAAGGACTATTTTATTTCTCCTCCCATCCCCTCCTACCAGGCTTCAATGTTAGCTGTAGAAAATGACCCATATGGACCTTTGCCACCAGGCTGGGGTAAGCTGATACATTATTGGTAAAAATATCTATAAGGTATATTCATTTCAAATAATTATTAAATGTTATGCTCACCTTAATTTTTAGAAAAAAGAGTGGATTCAACAGACAGGGTTTACTTTGTGAATCATAACACAAAAACAACCCAGTGGGAAGATCCAAGAACACAAGGGTATGTGTGTACTACCACCTTACCTAAGCCATCTTGCATATGACTGTCCGTAGACTCAGTGAAGTTTTAGTACCTAGAAGATGTCCACCGGATGATTGTAACTTTGTCTTTCAGTTTACAGAATGAAGAACCCCTGCCAGAAGGGTGGGAAATTAGGTACACTCGTGAAGGTGTTAGGTACTTTGTCGATCATAACACAAGAACAACAACATTCAAAGATCCTCGCAACGGGAAGTCATCCGTGTAAGTGAAAACCTAAAGTTCTCCTTCAGTGCTGCCTACTGAGGGCATGAAGTCTAGTCTCTTAATTTAGCCTCAGCTTTTTTTTTTTTTTTTTTTTTTTGAGACAGAGCCTCAAGCTGTCCCCCTGGGTAGAGTGCCGTGGCATTACAGCTCACAGCAACCTCCAACTCCTGGGCTCAAGCGAGTCTCCTGCCTCCGCCTCCCAAGTAGCTGGGACCACAGGCGCCCGCCACAACGCCTGGCTATTTTTTGGTTGCAGCCGTCATTGTTGTTTGGCGGGTCCAGGCTGGGTATTCGAACCCGCCACCTTAGGTGTACGTGGCTGGCGCCTTAGCCGGTTGAGCTATAGGCGCCGAGCCGAGCCTCAGCTTTAGAAACAGATTTTACTTTTTGGTTTAAGAACACATAAACAAGTAATACTTTAGTATTACTGCCTTTGCTCCATCTTACTCCAGAATGGATTTGTGGCTTGTAATTCCTCAATATAATAACAATGGCAATATGTATATAATGATTACTGTGAGCCAAAGATTGCTCTAACTAATTTATATGTATTAGCTCATTTTATCCTTCAACAGCCCTTTGAGGTAGGATGGTATTATTTTCCCCTTTACCAAGTAAAGACAGGTCTAGGGAGCATATCCGCCTGTTCAGACCAAGGCAGGCAGTCTGTCTCCAGAGTCTGTGGACCGAGTCTTGCCTGCCGTATCATACTGCTGCAACAAGGTGGTCAGTGAAACGGAATTTTTCCAGAAAAAAGATACCTTAATTAAGCAGTTGATAGTTCTCTCCGCCATTGTTTTTACTCTTAGGTGTGATGACTTTGTATTACTAAGAAAATAAAAGCAATCCTGGAAGGTCTTTTGTAAATTCCCACCACCATATCCACCCACCTGCTACCCTCTGTCCTCCTCCTTATTCCTGTCAAAGTCTAGTCCCTCTGCAGGCGCATTACACCGCCACCTTGCCCAAACCCCACACACTTCATTGCTCCAGTGTTGTCATCTTTCTGAGCTATATCATCAGTTTTTATTTCTCATCAGCTGTTATTTTTTCTAGATTATAAAAAAATAAATAACTCTTCCCCATACTGACTGATTCATTGACAGTTTGCTTTTATTGCTGCCCTTCTCAGCAAGACTACCCAAAAGAGTTGTCTCTGTATTACTGTTTGTAATTTCTACCATAAAGCACCTCTAAGAAAGTTCCCCTGACACTGAACTTGTCGTGGGCCCAAGTGATTTTCACATTAATCCAGGGCCAGTGTGCTGTCCTATCTCGTTTGACTTTAGAACATTTGACACAGTGCATTAATCTCTCCTGGCAAAAATAGTGGCGGGCACTATGCTTTCTTTTCTTCCCTCTATCTTTCCTGCCCGAGTTTTGTCTGTTTTGCTAACTTGTCTTTTTCCCATCAGCCTCTTACCATCGCATACCTAGAGCTCTATCCTTATTTCTTTTCTAATGACACCCATTCTCTTGATGAATCCTATTCAGGGTCATGCTTTTAGAAACATTTGTCTTGGGCGGCACCTGTGACTCAAAGGAGTAGGGTGCCAGCCCCATATGTCGGAGGTGTGAAGGTTCAAACCCAGCCCTGGCCAAAAACTGCAAAAAAAAGGAAAAAGTCTGCTAATGACTCAAAAGTCTATCTGTAGCTCAGATGTCTCGCTTGAAATCTTGATTTGTGTAGTCACCGCTTACCTTCCAGCTCCTTCCTGGTAGCGCTTAGAAAACCTGTGCTACCTGTGATAGTCCCATGTCATTAAAGGTAACTCTGCTCTTACATGATGCTTTTGGGCCAACATTTTTGGACTTGTCCCTGACTTCTCTTTCTCTCCCATCTTGCTTGAGAATATATGTAGAATTCAGCTGCGTCTCCCCACCATCACTGCTACCGCCTTGGTCCAAGCTACCCTCGTGGCTCATGTAGGATGGTACCAGAGTCGTCCTCTTCTCTGCTCTCTACACACATTTCATGTGATATGTTAATCTTCATACAGAAAAGTGACTGATTTTTTTTTTTAATTAAAGTACAAAGTTATTCCTTTGCACAAAACCCTTCTATAGTTCCCCTCTCAGTCAGAGTAGAAAGCAGTCCTTCAGGTGGCTTTGTAAGGCCGTATGGAATCTGACCTGGTGTCCCTTCCGCCTCATCTTGGTTTCTCTCCTTTTCACTCTACTCCAGCTTCACTGGCCGCCTGGCTGGACATGGAGGATCTGAGGCTTCCATCTCTGGCTCTTGGCCCTTGTTCCCGTTGCTTGACAAGCTCCTTTCCCACACGTCTATGTGACTTATGCCCTTTCCTTCAAGTTACTGCTCAAGTGTCACTTTGTCTCTGAACCCTCCTCTTCACCTTTTTCAGAATTAATTCTTCTCCAACCACTCTGGTCCTGTGTCCTTTTAAACCCCATATTGTTTCCTTTGTGCAGAGTGGTAAGACATTTAATCCCTTCTGACGCACTACATGTGTCGTTTCCTTACTCATCTATCTCTTGTCTGTGTCCTTCTCTAGTATACAAGCTCCACTAAAACAAGCATTTTTATTTTATTAACTAATAATGAATGTTCTCAATGTCTAGAAGTGTGTCTGGTACTTGCTATGCATTTAATAAAATATTTATTGGATAAATAAATTCACTTGAACCTGATACTGTGTAACACAGAAGGACATTTCCCATCCATTCCAAAATGTTCCCTAAGATTGTGAAGATTCTTTGTATCTGTCTGTTGGGCCCCCAGTCAGTGGGCAGAGACCAGGGCCTCTCGGTGTGAGTCAAATCATACTTCGAGTCTTACATTCCTAGATGTCATTCACGTGGCCTCTTATCTCCCCGACCATCTGAACGGTGTGACCTGGATGTCACATGTCGTTCCAAGAAACTCATTTTGCTTAGCTTTTATCTCCAGCAATATTCGTTTTGATTTTGGGGTGGGTTTAAGAAGTGGTAGAATTCTCTTCTGTTTCTTCTATGTAGAAGCTCCATCTTCCTTAATTTAAGGATTATCAAACATTTTCTTTGCAATAGTCTGTATTAGATTTTAGTATTTAATTTACTGCTTTACAAAAGATGCATCTGTACATACGATGTCCCTCTTTTTGTACGGGTGTACCCTGTTGCTGTGATAACTGTTACTGCTGTTGGCCCACTAAATATACCCTTATTTCTCTCTCAGCACAAAACTTTCTTATGGTCATTTGTAGGACGCCAATATAGTCTCATATATAATGAATACTAAATATTCAACTTTATTATGAATTAATATATCGTTTATTTTTGTTTTTCTTTAGAACTAAAGGTGGGCCACAAATTGCTTATGAGCGCAGCTTTAGGTGGAAACTTGCTCACTTCCGTTATTTGTGCCAGGTACTACAGTGGTAAATAAATCTTATGTTTATAATCATTTAGTCTTACTTTTATACAATACATGTACTACAGCTTACATGATGTGATATTATTTTTGTTTTTAGTCTAATGCACTACCCAGTCATGTAAAGATCAATGTGTCCCGACAGACATTGTTTGAAGATTCCTTCCAACAGGTAAACATTTTATCAGAATTAAACTGTACTGTTTGTCTTATTCTATGTGATACAGCTAAAGGGATTTAGAGTTTTAGAGGGTTTAAACCACAGAGAACACAGCTGTAATGATGGCTGCTACCTACTGTGTGTTTACTTTAATCATAGTTATACTGAGCCTCACATGTATTGAGTGATGCCACTTGGCATCTTAACATTTCTCACCTCATTCATTCTCACAGCATCCTTTTGAGATGGTTCCTGTCTTACCTTCACATTATAGGTAATGGTAGTGAGATGAGAGACAGTCATTCTTTCATTAATTTAGATGTACACTTACTAAAGTGAGACTTAAGCAGCTTTTGGAACAGGTTGATTAACTTCGACTCAAACTTGGCTGAGAATTTATTACTTCAAATAAAAGTTTTGATATGCTACCAAGTTAAAATTCAATTGGTAGATACTATATTCCACTTGAGTATTCCTTTAATAATTCTAATGTTTTATTCTCACCTTTAGATTTCTGTTAAAATGTCATGTTTTCAGAGATACCAGGTCTTGCTCATCTCCCTCACAGTCACATTCTAGCCCAGGCGTCCTCAGACTACGGCCCGCAGGCCATATGCAGCCCGCCTAGGACATTTATCTGGTCCACCGGGTGTTTTTGCCACCACTGCCTGTCCTGCTTAGCAGCCGACTGGTCCTGGAGCCCACAGTCTGGCCCTCCAGTGGTCTGAGGGACAGTGAACTGGCCCCCTGTTTAAGAAGTTTGAGGACCCCTGTAAATCTAGCCAGTTAAGGCACTTTGTTCTTTTTCATGGGACTTACTGCGACCCAATATGTTACATTTTGTTTATCTCTTTTGCTAAAATGTCAGCTTCATGAGAGCGTGGACTATTTTATTTACTGCTTCCCCAGTACTTAGAGTAGTGCCTTGCACATCGCAGGTGTTCAGTAGGTATTTGGTCAGTGAATAAACAAAAATGTAATATTTCTGTCTTTTCCTGAATCATCTGCAGAATATTTAAAGATAAAAAATTTCAATGTTCTATTGTTAGTTCTTTTTTTCTGAGGAAAAATTGGACAATTTTTGTGAGATTTCTTGTTCCTGTCCAAAGTATTACAATGACAAGGCAGCCGTCTATGTGCACTCTGATATACAAATAACATTCTGAACTCCAAGCAACTTTTAAACCCTAGCTTAATTTTATTAGTGTTGGACTTTGTACAAGACAATTTAAACTATTACCAGAAGTTTTTTTAGTTTAAGTTAATAAATTCTTAGCAAAAAAGTATAAGATCAACTTGTTTCCAACTGTTTAGGTTGATTTTAGTTAAGTGTACATGTAAATTCATGGTGGCCTTTATTTTACTCTTTACCCTCTCGTGGGGAGAATCATGGTCTGATGGATGGGCAGCACTGAGCCCGTGACAGTGTCTGAGAGGCCTGCCCAGAAGCTGTGCCTTAAACCAAACTGTTAGTTTCGGGTGCGGTTCTGACATATGTAGTAGAAGTGATTAATTTCTGTCCCAAAGTGAAGACTGTTTACTAGTAATCATGATGTAAGCTATTAAGGATTATGAAAATTTGCTCTAGGTATTGAGTAAGCTATCCTGTTCTTTGTATGAATTCATCATCAAGTAATTGTTCTAGACGAGTTCTGTTCCTAGAATGGAATGTGTGGGATAAGCAGGATGCAGAACAAGGTTTCTCCTCTCAGTGAGTCTAGTCAGAAAAAGTTATGTCACCTGTTGAAAGATTTTGGTAGAGTTTGGGGAGAGGTAAACTTTCTGTGTCATACTCTTACTTTCTAGCCACTAACCCTGAGTAGAATTCCCATATAATATTAGAGGAAGGGAAAGAGAATACACTTAAACCCTTAACGATGTGGGACTAGGGATGCTGATCCCCTGCACAGTTGGATATGTAACTTTTGACTCCCCTAAGTCCTAATAACTAATAACTTTGTTATTGTCTGGGAACCTTACAAATAGCATAGTCAACACATTTTGTATATTTATTATGTACAGTATCCTTACAATAAAGTAAGCTAGAGAAAAGAAAATGTCATTAAGAAAATCATAAGGAAGAGAAAATATACTTACTGTTCATTAAGTGACAGTGGATCATGATAAAGATCTTGCTGTCTTCGCGGGTGGCAGAAGAAGATCTACATATAAATGGACCTGTGCTATTTAAACCCATGTGGTTCAGGGATCAACCATATGTGGAAGTCAAAAAAAGATTAATTATAGATTGATGTGTATGGAGAATAAGTCAAGTGATCTCTTGAGTTAAAGGTATTGTTGTATGAGATAAAGCAATCTGTAATTTAAAAAAATACAGATTAAATTTGAAGTGAATAGTTTTAGAAGAAAGTTGTATTACATATGAGTGTTTAAATATTTATAATTTTGTTTTTAATTAGATTATGGCATTAAAACCCTATGACTTGAGGAGACGATTATATGTAATATTTAGAGGAGAAGAAGGACTTGATTATGGTGGCCTAGCAAGGTAAAATAGAAAATACATAACTACTTTGAAATAAACATATGTCATTGTATACAGGGAAATAGTCTTGAAAAGATAAGTGAATATGTTGGATTATATTTTATAACAAAAATCAAAATATTTGCACAATTCTAAAGGTAATTATTACTGGTCTTGATTATCTTTCTATACATTTTCTCTACATATAAATGTGAATTCGTATATTTGTGTAATATAGTACATATTTGCTGTTTCTATTTTCAAGAGAATTAATCATACAGTGTATAAAACCTAGGAAGCTAATTTTGTTTTATATAGTATGGTTTTTTTATATCATTATACATAGAGAGCTAATACTCTTAAGTTTTAAAATGTCTGTGTCATATTCCATTGTATGAATATATCATAGAGAATAGATCAACATGCAAAAAAAATTTCTTATTTTTTGCTATTATAACATCATGTTTATTTTGCCTATATTTTCAATCTGAGTATCTTTGAGAATAGAATTTTCTACATTCACTAAATATATTAACAGTAGACACTTGTGAAGCAATGTGAGTGGAAAATCCTTTTGTTTTTAATTTTTTGGCATAATTGTTCTGCCCAAACCTAATTTGGCCATAGTTTATTTTTGAGTAAAGCACTTTGGTTAAATCTTTTTTTAAAAAGTCAGACTTTTGCTTCTGATGCAGTGGCTCATGCCTGTAATCTTAGCACTTTGGGAGGCTGAGGCAAGTGGATTGCGTAAGCTCATGAATTTGAGACCAACCTGAGCCAGAGTGAGATCCCTTCTCTTAAAAGAGCCAGGCATTGTAGCAGGTGCCTATAGTCGCAGCTACTTGTGAGGCTGAGACAAGGGGATCACTTGAGCCCGAGAGTTTGAGGTTGCTGTGAGCTATGATATCATGGCACTCTACTGAGGGTGACAAAAAAATAAATAAAAAGCCAAACTTTTCATAGAAACAACGCTTTTTGAACTCATATTTCACAGGTGTACAGAATTACAAAATCACAATTTTAATACAACTGGCAAAAAGTGATGTAGGATCAAGCACAAGTGGTGTGAACAGATAAATGATAATATATGTGGGATTATCAGAGTTTTGTTTATATTAGCATATTTCCTCATCCACAATATTATTAAGCTCTTTCAGAAAAGAAACACTACCACAATAAATGTTCATGCCACATCTATTATGAATTTATTTCAGTTTCTGAAATGTTCAGACATTAAGAAGAAAGGTACAGCTTACAAATGAGGAAATATGGTAGTATTTTTACAGTATCTGTCTTTACAGCCTTTACATTCTCGTCTGAACTCTTATTTACATTAACTGTTTGGGTCTAATCTTATATTTTGAGGTTTTTAATACATATGTATTCCTAAATTCTTTATTTGATTCATGTATTGGTGGGCTAGATTCATCATCAGATGGTTTATTCAGGAATTTACAGGGGTAATATATTTCTATAGTCTTTACATGCTTGGGAATGTTTACTATTGTATATGAACCACAGCTTCACTAGGTATAAATATCTTGGAGTTCAGTTATTTCTCCAATACTCTGTAAATGCAGCTTCACTGTTTTCTAGGGTTGAATATCAGTACTGTGAAGTATGAGGCCAGCCCCTTGTAGGAAACGTTTTTCTCTGGGTACCCACACAGTCCTTTTTCTTGAAGTTCATTAATTTCATTGTTGATTGTTTTATATCTTTTTTTAGGAACATATTAAGATCTTCCTTAATTTCAGGGAAATTTTCTTCTATTATGTCTTTGAATATTTTTTCTGTTCCATTTGTTCCATTTTTCTTCAGGAACATCAATCATGGGTATGTGGAATCTCCTTTGTCGGTCTTACATGTTTGTCATCTTTTCTCTGATCATTTTTATCCGTGTGCTTTTCCATTTTGTTTTGATTTTTCTCAAGCCTATCCTCATGTTACTATTTGCAGTACTGCCCTACATTTTGCTGCTTCTGATGTGGTTTTTCCTTCATTAGTGGTTTTACTGTTTTCTTCATTTTCTTCTCTAGGCTCTGCTAGTTCTTCTGTTGTCTTGTAATTTTTTCACCCTCGTGTCTTTTCAATTTATTTGAGTATGGAGAAGAATATGTTGAAAGTTAATTCTTTTGCCTCTTGCTAGTTAGAAATTTTTCTATCTTTTCTGCTAGGATGAGGGTAAAGGTGAAGTGCCATGTTATAGCCATTCTTCTTTTGATGATTTGATTCTCTCTGGGCTGCTATTTACTAAAAGTGATCTGAACCATCTGAAGATTTTGTTCCTAGTTTTTGTAACATTCTCACTAGATCTGCTTAGTCCTTTTCCCAAGGGGCATGTCTGTCTTCAGCCTTATCAAAGAGAGAAATCACTTGGTTCATGACTTTGCTGGGACTCGTACTTAACTGTATAATTTGGTTTTTATCATTCCTTGGTTGTTGAGAGATTGCTTTTTCTATTCTTCAGCCAGTTTCAAGAATTGTATTTTGATAGCTTTAGAAAATAATTTGCAAATAGGCTGTCAGGATAGATCTAGCTTGCATGAAGGGCCTCACTTGTGATTTTACATTTTTTAAATTATTTGATAACATTCAGAATCAGTAGATTATGCTTAAGAATCAAGATTTCTGATTTCTCTTTAAAACACTAGACCCACATTCTCACTTCTTTCAGGTTAGTAGTTGACTGAAATCAGAGTAGCTTATTTGCCCTTCTGGGTAGAATGCATTCTGTTTTATGGCAGTGCCCACTACTGCCCAGTCATCAAAGGACTGTGATAATTCTGCTTCCTTAAAGCCAATAATTTTAGCAGGGGTATAATGAGAAATATAAGATTGTGGCTGAGCAGAGAATGTGAGCCCCATCTAGAAATAGAGAAAGAAGCCCCTGTACTCACTAACCACTGTGAGCATTTAAGTTTAGAACCTTGCTTTAATAGAAATTGCTGTTAAAAAAGAATCTTTTGCAAATTCAATTTATTTTATAGTATCTTTTATCTAGTTGGATTTCATATATTAAACTTTTTTAAAATGAGCCAAAATAAGTGGTTAAAAGATTGCTTATCACATTTAAACATTTTACCCTTGTAACTTTAGTTTCTTTTTTAATGTGGCGAGAGTAAAATTAAAACCATTTCATAGCAGCATTGCTGTGTATCTCAGTATTACCAGTAGATACCTATTTATATAGATCCTGGAGTACCTATGAAAGTTAAGGATATATTAAAAAAAAATTTAAGGATATAAAAAATACATAAAGACATGACTTTGGCCTTTGGTGAGCTTACAGTCTGGTCAGTGGGGCAGTTCATGTGCATAAACATGGATAATGTTGTGATGTTGTGACCATAAAGTTTTCAGTGACTAATACACATACACCAAAAATTGCTTCAAAAGATTTTTAGTGTGGGTTTAAACTGGACCAAAAAAAAGTGGGATCTCCATAAGTTGAGTTTGAAGTTGAGGAGATATACTCTAAGCAAAATTAGAGTGTAGAGATACATGTAGCATGTTACATATGAGTAACAGTTGGCTTGTACTTTGGCAACACAGGAACTAGCAGCTAACTAGAGCCAGCTCATAGAATGATTTAAATGGAGGGCTGAGGAATTGGGCAGTGGAATTTAAAGGCTTTTGAACAGAGGTACAATGTATATATGGGTATATTTAAGATCTGTTTTTAAAATTACATATATGTATGAATGTTAAAAAATAATTCTAACTTATTTTCTTACAGAGAATGGTTTTTCTTGCTTTCACATGAAGTTTTGAATCCAATGTATTGCTTATTTGAGTATGCAGGCAAGAACAACTATTGTTTGCAAATAAATCCAGCATCAACCATTAATCCAGACCACCTTTCATACTTCTGTTTTATTGGTCGCTTCATTGCTATGGTGAGTTCTTTAAATTATTTATTTAAACATCACTTTTTTTCAAAAGTATTATAGAGGACTTATTTTGTTACCAAGGAAGTTTTCATAGGGAGTATCAAAATATAGTTAATTTTTTGTATGAAATCCAAGATTATGAATACGACTATTATTTACATAGCCACTTAGTTTTTTAAAAGTCCTTTCATTTTATAAATTAAAGCCTTATTATAGTATGACTACTTTTCTATAAAAGGAAAATTTGAAGTAGCTAATAATTACATTTGATTAATGTTTTTGGAATTTTTAGAGCTTTGCAGAGCCCTTGTGAAACTACAGTCTTTAGAGAAATGTTTGTATTCTTATATTTGCACTTTATTATTCGTTCATTTTTTGAGCGCCAACTATAATGCCAGGCATTATTCTAGGCACTGAAGATGAAAAGAAGACATAGTTGTCCCTGCTCTCAGGGATCAACATCTGTTAGGCAGAAACAAAACGTATGTGCTGAGGGAAAGAAAGTATTGCTTTTTTCTCTAGTATTGTTGGAGGAGGTCTTGTGGATGGATGGAAGGGACATGAACGAAATATAAAGAAAGCAAGAAGTTGAGTTCTGCAGGTATCTTAGAAAAGGACATACTAGGAATAGGGAACAGCAAACCAAAGGCTCCAAGGTGTAAGTGCATTCTTGGAGCATACGCATGAGATGGAGTGTAATGGGAGATGAGACTGAGAGACATACTGTATTGGAAAGCTCAGGACATTCACATACGCATTTTGAATAGGTGCTCCAGACTCCCAGCATACAAAAAGAGCTAATATTTCAGTTGTCATGATTTATGCCATTTACTAACTGAATGCTTTTGTGTATTTAATAAAAGGAATATGGGAGCAATGACTTTGAGTAGGAGTGAGAGGAAGAGACTTATTTCATGCATGTGTAAATGACTGAGTTTATCTGTAATAAGAGTATATGGATTCAGATGCGAGAACACATGGAAGTTCTCCTGTGATTGCTTCTGCTTCCTCAGTGAAATAGGAAGTAATATCATTAGCTCAGAGTAAGCAGTGGGGGAAAAGGAAGTATTCGAGCGAAGATGAGTAGGAATGAAATAAGGCACGTAGGAGAGTGAATGCAGCAGGGGAGTATAATTATAGGAAATACAGCAGCAAATAGGACTTTTGGTCATGAACCAGTCAGTCTGGTTGTCTATGCATTTCTAGCATGTTCCGCTGCCCGGGTTCAGGCACTGAGTACGCTAACAGTTGAATTTAGTCAGGCTTGGGTTATTGCCAGAAATACATCTGGGAAGGCAGGGTTTGAAGGTGAGATAGATAAGGGAATTATTTTAACGATTGATGATGGAATCCAAACTGAGTGAGGGGAGAAATAATTTCACGAGGGTGCTGAGGAACACTGTTAAGGTAGTAGGTTCAGTGGATTTCTTAGATCCCTCGAATTGCTGGGAGTCTGAGACTTCCTGTGTTGGCTGTTATGAATAGGAATGTAGTACAACAGAATTAGTCTTGAAAATTTCTCACTAAGTGAGAAAGAAATGCAAGTGGGACCATTCAGATGTACAGGGCCTTTTTTCATTTCTTCATCTAGTTAGTGGCAAGACCAGGCATGGTGGCTCCTGCCTATAATCCTAGCACTCTGGGAGGCCAAGGCAAGAGGATCCCTTGAGATCAGGAGTTTAGGATCAGCCTGAGCAAGAGCAAAATCCCCATCTCTACTAAAAATGAAAAAATTAGCTAGGCACTGTGGTGGGTGCCTGTAGTGGCAGCTACACAGGAGGCTAAGGCAGGAGGATTGCTTGAACCCAGGAGTTTGAGGTTGCTGTGAGCTAGGCTGATGCCATAGCACTTTAGCCTGGGGCAGCTGTCTCTAGAAATACAATTTTTTTTTTTTTTAGAAAGAGTGAGGCAAAAGGTTGATAATAGAGGTCCTTTACCAGCCTGTTTATGCTTTTTGATAGTATCTTATATGGTTAAGTATTTGACCTCCACAAAATAGATCTTGTTTTTTGTCTTTCATGCTTAGCATTTTATATATTATTTTATATATTTATTTATTTATTTGTTTGCTTTGAGATAGAGTCTTACTATGTTGTTCTCAGTAAAGTGCTGTGGCATCACAGCTCACAGCAACCTCAAATTCTTGGGCTTAAACAAGTCTCTTGCCTCAGCATCCCAAGTAGCTGGGACTTACAGGCGCCTGCCACAACGCCCACGTATTTTTTTGGTTGCAGTTGTCGTTGTTTAGTAGGCCCGGGCCAGGTTTGAACCCGCCAGCTTTGGTGTCTGTGGCTGGCACTCTATTCACTGAGCTACGGGCGCCAAGCCATAGCTCGTAATATTTTAGATTCCATGATTTAAGGTGTGTGCTTGCTGAGTGCTTTCTTTGGCACTTAAAACCTTGTAGTTTCTCTGTTGTTATTGTTGTCTACATAAGAAATAGTATTTTGTAAATTTTAAATAAAATTTTTTTGTTTTTCTTGACAGGCGCTATTTCATGGAAAGTTTATCGATACTGGTTTCTCTTTACCATTCTATAAGCGAATGCTAAGTAAAAAACTTACTATTAAGGATTTGGAATCTATTGACACTGAATTTTATAACTCCCTTATCTGGATAAGGTTTGAGATTTATTTTTTCAATGAGGCATTTTCTTGTAACCCGTTTATACATTTTGTTAATTAGGGTATGTAATACTCATGTATTTTATTTCATCCAGAGACAACAACATTGAAGAGTGTGGCTTAGAAATGTACTTTTCTGTTGACATGGAGATTTTGGGAAAAGTTACTTCACATGATCTCAAGCTGGGAGGTTCCAATATCTTGGTGACTGAGGAAAACAAAGATGAATACATTGGGTAAGGTGATTTGTTTTATTATTGAGCTTATTTTTCAGAACTTCTAGAACATGTCAGAACTAAATCATCTATCTTCACCCTTAATTTTATCCCTTTTCCTCTCCTCTCAGAAGCTTTTTTTCAACAGTACCAATGTTCTTGAAATAAGAGATGGCCTTCCCTTCCACACTGGCATTTGATGTAACTATTAGGCCTTTGCTCAGATCAAAAATAGAAAACACACTGTAAAGAGCTTTGCACAGCATATACAGCCCTTCATTTTTAGTTCTATTATTTGGTAAAAGCAAAACCAAGTCTGGAACTGAGGCTTGGACCATCAGTCTAGGCCATTTGTCAGTCTGTCGTTTTTCCCATTGTAATTTATGCTTTCAGGAGTGCTCTGCACAGTCTCTGTTTTGAAATTCTGGTGTTCGCTTGATTCCATGATCCCTTATCATCAGATTTTCTCCATTTTCTCTTTTTTACTGATGATTCTTTAAATCTGCGTGTTCTAAATAAGGCTGTTTTTCCAAAGTTCTTTGTTCATCCTGTTTCTTTGAGTGTTCTGCTACCATAGCTTCAAATTTCTATTAAGTAATATCTGAACTTTAGAAATAATATCCATTTGCCTGGCAGGTAAGTTCAAACTTTTTCTGGAAAGAAACCAGAAGTAAATTTTTTAGGCTGTGAGCACATACAGTCCTATTGCAACTCCTCAGCCCTGTGTTGCAGTGTGTGAGCAGATGAGTGTGATTATTCTCCACCAGACCTTTCTGGGACACTGAAATTTGATTTCGCATAAATTTCGTATCCCAAAATATTCTTTTAATATTTTTTGACCATTTTTTAAAAATGTAAAGAGTAGTCTTAGCTCACATGTGTAGAAGAAAAACAGATGGTTGGCCACGTGGGGCTCAGTGACCACATTCTAGTGACTTATCTTGAATTTAGCATGCCCCAAATCAAATGTTTCATTTTTTTCTATCAGCTCTTGACCTCTTCTATTAGTGGGATTATTGTTTTCAGGCTCTTTTAGATTTGAGTTTTAGCTGTCTTTGTCTTCTTCCTTCAGGTCAGTAGAGATAGATCTAAATCATATTCTAATAGCTAGATAAATTATGCTATATCTATTTCATATTATTCAGCCATTTCTGCTCATAGGGGTCATTTAGGCGTGTCCAGTTTGAGCCCTACATACAAGACAAAAGAAAACCTCATTAGGTCTGAATCCATACATCCCTGCTACTTATCTTTGTGGGATATAGTTATGAAAAGTGAACTTATTAGATCAAAAAGTATTTAGTAATGCTGTGTTGCTTTCCAAAAATCTCATAGTAATTCTTTCTTTCTTAATTAACTTGTAAATTGCTGTGGCCTTTCAGTTTCACACCTTAGTGTCTCTGCTTATTACGTGAAATGCAGCCACCTTAGCATGACATTCGAGGCCTCTTCCTAGTTTTCTGCTAAACCAGTTATCTCCGAGTGAGAGAAATTACCAGTAACTGATTTTCTTTGCATATCTTTGTACTCTCTGAAGTATTTTTGTTTTGCTTTGTTATTCCCTGAGCATTTATTGCTTATCAGGATAAAACTGAAAAGCTTTTTATATTTTGAAGAAAATACAAAGCTAGTGCGTATAACACTTTTATGTTTGTTAAGCCTTCCACTGTCTAAAAATAATTATTAAATATTACAATTTAAGCATTTAAGGAACTGCTCTTAGTGATTTCACATGTCTAAAAGCAGTTTAAATAAAATTTTATCATGTCAGGCTTATTTGTCTTTTCTTTGCTACTTTGAACTTTATATTTTGTTAGCGTAATCACTATTTCAAAAATTTAATCTGTATAGTGCTTACTGTGTAAGTATTGGTATCCAGTCCTGAAGACAATTTTTGGAGGATTTTATTTCTTTTCTTTTCTTTTCTTTTTTTTTTTTTTTTGAGACAGAGCCTCAAGCTGTCCCCCTGGGTAGAGTGATGTGGCATCACAGCTCACAGCAATCTCCAACTCCTGGGCTCCAGCAAGTCTCCTGCCTCAGCCTCCCAAGTAGCTGGGACCACAGGCGCTGGCCACAATGCCCGGCTATATTTTGGTTACAGCCGTCATTGTTATTTGGTGGGCCTGGGGTAGATTCAAACCTGCCACCTTAGGTGTATGTGGCTGGTGCCTTAGCCACTTGAGCCACAGGCCCCGAGCTGAGGATTTTGTTTCAATCTTATACAGTAACAAACTGTAATCTTGTTTTTATGTTTTGCTCTTGACATTGTGATAATACTCTTTTACTTGTGATACCTTTAGTACAAAAAATAGAACCTACATGATCTGAATAGATGAAGTGTATCTGAAGTTCTGTTGGAATCCTGAGTGGGAAGAGAGCTATTGTTTCTGCTAAGAGGAGCTGGGAAACATTGTGTATAAGTTAGGTCTTAAAAGGCACACGAGAACTTGCCTGTTAGAAGGACAGCTTTTTGGGAGCAAGAAAAGAGCAAGAGCAGAAGAATTGAGATATTAAAGGGATTAGTTTCTCCAGGGAATTTACAGGTATATTGCTACGGGAACGGTAGACAATGGTGAGAAATAGTGACTAAACCGGAGCCTACAGTGTTAGCCAGGTTCTGCCATTGCTTTAAATTGTGAAAAATCAGCAAAACAGACCAAGATGGGATGGTCAGAATTGTCTTTGGAAAGATCATGCTGGCATCTGGGTGGAGGATGACTTGGGAGTGACAGTGAGAGAGGGAGTGATGAGAGACCAGAAAACTAATTAAGATTATTTCAATAATTTAGTAGTGCGGTATTGTAGGCCTCAAATGGCAGATGCAGTATAGATAAAAATGAGTGAATAGATTTTTTTGGATATCGGAGGAATAGAAATGTTCTAGTTCAGTGATTAATTGTTACATGTAGTGAGGGAAATGAAATATAGGCAGTTCCCAAGTTACAAATATCTGACTTATATACAACTCGCATTTACAAATAGAGGCTATTATAGTAAGTCTGTGAATTACAAACGTCTGACTGACGTATGACTCACATTTATGAATGGAGGCTATTACAGGTGATAGGTAAACGTATCTGTTCCAGCTTACATACACATTCAAGTTAAGGACAGACTTAGAGAACCTATCTTATTTGTAACTCAGGGACTGCCTGTATATTTAATGGTTGAGGTCTCTGTAGATGGGTTGGCATTTAAATTTGTTAGCAGAATATCCGAGGAGAGATGACCTGGAAGTATCTTGATTTCAGGAGGGAAGCAGGAATTTAGGAATTTGAGAATTACTGGATTTCTGTGACAGCTGAAACTTCGGTAGTTGAAAAGATCATCTGTAGAGAGTGAACAGCTAGAAGAGAAAAGGAGGCACAAAGCTAAGTAACACCAACATTTGTGGAATAGCAACCAGATGGAGAGGAAAGAGGTGCTGACGCTGAGTCAGGAAGGGCGGCGTTCCTGTGTCCAGTGAAGAGCTGCATGGGAGTCGGGGAAACCAGTGTCTAGTGTTAAGGCAGTTTATATGACATGAACACTAAAAGGAGGGCGTTGGGTTTGCTTGGCAATTAACAGTTCCTTGGTGATGTAACTATGAAAGTTTTTTATTCTGGGGGAGAAGATGTTAGAAGGCAAACCCCGTGGGGTAAAATGTGGTATAAAATGTGGATGAACAGGAGATGAGAAAGTAGCGACAGTAGGTAATAGTGTACTCTTTTAATAAGTGTGCTAAAGAGAGAATAGTTTCAGGGAGGCACTGGGTTGAAGGAAGGGTTTTTGGAAAAGAATCCGAACACCAGATCACCTGTGTGGACAAATAGGAAGGTAAAATTAAGGAAAACCTTTAGAGACCTCAAGATGAAAGGTTTGCCTTAGAAAAGCATAAGACCAGATTCTTTTAGGACACAAAAGAGGAGTTAGAAATGGGAGGAGTATGGATGAATTGGCTTTCTCTTCACCTGCCTTCTGCTGTTTTTCTAGATCCTTTCTAGATCCGTTTCCTTTCAGAACCTCTTTGCTCAGATTTTTGAGTTCGTGACAGATTTTTTCCTTAGTTCTTTTTTATCATACTTCTATTTTGGTTAGGAAATCTTCATGTTATCCAATAAACCAACATGTAAAGTGAACCTAAACCTGTGCAGCACATGGCCTGCAGACAGATCGTCATCTTGTGTTACTGAGACTGCCCCTGGCTGCCCTGGTGTGGAAGGCTTTGAATCAGAATCTTTGTGGAAAATGCTATAAGGAGAGACTTAAATGACTGGCCATTTCCTCCCTTTGTCAGCACCCAGGATTTGGAGTTATTTTCTTCATTATAAACAGGAAATAACTGATGCTAGGATTTGGCTCTGTTACTGACAAAGGAAGAACTTCACTATTTTGAAAACATCCTCCTTTTATACGGGTAGCTACCAGTATACTAGCATTGATCTCCTTATGGAGAAGTTATGTGTTAATTAAAAATACACACATAGGCTCAGCGCCTATAGCTCAACCGGCTAAGGCGCCAGCCACGTACACCTAAGGTGGTCCGTTCAAATCCCCAGCCCGGACCTGCCAAACAGGCTGCAACCAAAAAATTGGCGGGGGTTTTTGGGGGGGCCTGTGGTCCCAGCTACTTGGGAGGCGGAGGCAGGAGACTCGCTTGAGCCCAGGAGTTGGAGGTTGCTGTGAGCTGTAATGCCACGGCACTCTACCCAGGGGGACAGCTTGAGGCTCTGTCTCAAAAAAAAAAAAAAAAAAAAATACACACATACATACATAGACACATTCATATTTATGTGTTGTGTATGTGGTATAGTCTCTTAGAAAAAGAACTGGGTGCCAGCCACATGCACCAGAGCTAGCGGGTTTGAATCCAGCCAGGCCTGCCAAACAATGATGGCAGCTACAACCAAAAAATAGCTGGGAATTCAGCTACTTGGGAGGCTAAGGCCAGAGAATCACTTAAGCCCAAGAGTTTGAGGTTGCTGTGGGCTGTGATGACACTCTACCCAGTGTGACAGCTTGTGACTCTGTCTCAAAAAAAAAAAAAAAGAAATTTAGAATTTCTTGGTATTTTTAAGCCTTTTACTTCATATATAAATTACCTGTTTTTAAGCACCATCTTTATTTTCAGTTTAATGACAGAATGGCGTTTTTCTCGAGGAGTACAAGAGCAGACCAAAGCTTTCCTTGATGGTTTTAATGAAGTTGTTCCTCTTCAATGGCTACAGTACTTTGACGAAAAAGAATTGGAGGTTAGGTGTTTTATTATGCTGTTGTGGGGAATGTTAACGGGGAGGGGCTGTGTGCTTTTCTGGAACAATGTTTGTACATATTTTAAATCATGTAACTACCTTTGATCCATCCAGTTGATGTGGTGGTATTAATCCTAGCATTAGGTGAGGGTTTTGATTATGTTGTCTGATAACATCATGAGCACAAAATCATTAATCAGTGACTCCTGTTTTGTGAAGAGAGATTGCAACATTATTTATAAGGATGAGAACATTCCAAAATCTCAAGTCCTGAGTTCTTAGGAGTCTTAGCTTTATTTAGACTGTTTGAAGTGTATCAGGAATTCTCTTGTGTGTGTGTGTGTGTGTGTGTGTGTGTGAGAGACAGAGAGAGAAAGTACACAACATAAAATTTACCATTTTAACACATTGACTGCCACCCCCTCAAAAAAACAAACTTTTTCCTTGAGGCCAGGGTGTTTTATTATAAAAATAGATTAAAAACTTCAAAAACAAAATTATCCTACCTGAATTAATGAAAAGGTTCTCAGGCCGGGTGTGGTGACTCACACCTATAATTCCAGTATCCTGGGACGCCAAGGTGGGTGGATTGCCTGAGCTCACGGGTTCCAGAGCAGATGGAGCAAAGGTGAGACCCTGTCTCTACTAAAAATAGAAAAGAAAAAAAAAAACTGAGGCAAGAGGATCTCTTGACCCCAGCAGTTGAGTTGGAGGTTGCTGTGATACCCAGGCCTCAAAAAAAAGAGCTTGGTGCCTGTAGGTCAGTGGGGAGGGCACCAGCCACATACACTGGAGCTGGTGGGTTCAAACCCAGCCTGGGCCTGCCAAACAACAATGACAACTACAACCAAAAAATAGCTGGGCATTGTGGCGGGTGCCTGTAGTCTCAGCTGCTGGGGAGGCTGGGGCAAGAGAATCGCTTGAGCCCAAGAGTTTGAGGTTGCTGTGAGTTGAGATGGCACAGCACTCTACTGAGGGTGACATAGTGAGACTGTGTCTCCAAAAAAATAAAGAAAGAAAGAAAGAAAGAATAGTCAGTGTAAAGGTTGTTTTCAGTTTGAGTTCAATAAACATTGACAGTAAAGTACCAAAGAGTTATTTATGCTAAGTTGCCACAAATATTGTTAGATTTGCTTACTGTAATCATTATTTGCCCTACACATAGCTGTTCACATAATTATGCCATGCGCATAACTGCATTAGAAAATTTCAATCAAAAACAATAGTAATGAGTTGTAGTGGGATAATAATGTTGAAGAAAAAAAATCATAGTTTGCTACTTAAAGTTTTCTGTTGTTTTTTCTTAAAAAAAAAAAAAAAAGCAAATTTCAGTCATGTGATTATTCCTGTCACTAAATTTTTCTTGTGGCCTGGTTCCGTGCTCACTTCCCAGGTTATGCTGTGTGGCATGCAGGAGGTCGACTTGGCCGATTGGCAGAGAAACACTGTTTATCGACACTATACGAGAAACAGCAAGCAAATCATTTGGTTTTGGCAGGTATTTGCTTTGATCTTTTTGAAATAAATATTCAAAGAAGATATTTTCTGATGAAATGGTTTAAAATGATTAATAGTTTATTTTTTTAATTGAAATTGCTTTTGGGTATGGTTTTTAGTCTTCCAGTTACATATCTGAAGTGAATAGTGTGAATACTTATTGAGAGTATTTTCCATTGCTTCTTCAACTGTCTTTGTAATCAAGAATGGCAGAGTCCTATTTAAATAATAATTTAATGGGAATATCAAAGTAGTCTGTAGGTTTCACTTAATTGAAGTAAATAAGGAAGTATGTTTGTAATGAGAAATTGAGTACAGATACTTAAATCTCTCTGAAGGTGATAATAGACTCAGGAATTAGAGTAATTTTGGAAGAATGACTTTGTTATAGATTTATTTGTGTGTGTGTGTGTGTTTTGGCTTAGACTGTAATAGGATTGGCTCTGGAATCTTAAGTGGACCATGCTAATTTTGAAGCACATTTTATTTTAATAGATTTTTGTTTTGTGTACTTATTTGAGAATTTAAAGTCTCTAGACCAGGGATTTTCTTCATATAAATATGCTATGCTACTAATTGAGTCTCATTTAAGCAGCTTGATTACTGGATTTTTGGTTTCCTTCTGCTTGTTTCACTGCCAGCTGAAAAGTAATCGTGGGTTTTGTATTACTATAAGATTCTCCAAAAGTTGCATGTTTTCATAAAGATATGTGTCATGAGTTTATTACTTAATATTTTAAAGGATTGTGGATATTTCTAAAATTCTGTCTTAAAATATACTTCAAAATGTGTAAGATGTCACCTATCAAAGTACTTAATGCAACATTTTGGTGAACCAGCAGAGAAACGAAACAAACTAAATGTCAGGAGAAGGCTGAGTAAATAGACTACAGCACATCTGTTTTATAATTCTACACCTTGTAGTGATTCTTTTTCTTTCCCTTTTTATATGCAATTTTAAAATATTAGAGAATAATTTTTCAATATAATATTAAGGGGAAAAGGAAGATGATATGCAACATGTATATGTGATGCTATTTGGTTAAAAGGAGAATTTATGTTCTGGATAGAAGTGTGTGCTAGTATTTGAACACATCAGCTCTGAAAAGGCCGAGAAAAACTGGCTCCAAAGAGGAAGGGGGCTGAGCAGTTGGAGGGAAAGGTGGGAAAGCTGCTTTTCATGCCGTACCCTGTTTACTGTCTTCTGAATCTGTGCTGTTACCTCTTATAAATACATAAACAAACAGGAAGAATAAATCCGTTTTCAAGCTTAAAGAATCGGGATTCCATTACCCACAGTATATGGACAGGAGTCTGTCCTCTTCCCTCCTGTGCTTTACTGCCTTCATTACATGTGGCATTTCCCGACTTGCTGTTTGGATATTTATATCTACACAGCTAAGGCATTGATGCTCAGGGTTATATAAATCCAAATGAAGACTTGTGTTTTCTGAACTTGGTTTGATTTTAGGGAAAGTAGTGAGACCAGGTACTAAGCTCTATTTCTTGTGATTTGGTGAAATATAATATGTGCCACGACATAATTCTTCACTGAAACATTGTGGTCATGATTAGCACAGCATTTTTTATCTTATCCTTAACTAAAGTTTATTCCTTATTTTCAAGACACATTTCTGGACTCAGTCTGCTCCCTAAGTTCCTTGCTTTCTGTGAAACCAGTCAGATCAGTATATTATCACCTTACCTGTTTGTCTTACTTTGAAAAGAACTAGTCAATAAAACAGATAATTTTAGAGGAATGTTTTTTAGACACTAGTCAAAAAGAACACAAAGCATTGGGAAAATGGTGTTTAATAAGAGAAAATGCCACCAAGAGTGGCAAGTAGGGAGGTGTTCATCATTTGTTTAAATGAGAGGCATAGGTGACTCGGGGAAGAATAACAATGGGTCAGAACTCAGCCAGATCTGAGTATAAATGTTAGATTTGTCACTTCTTAGCAGTTTGAGAAGGACCAATTCCTGAACTTTTGTAGGTTTTCATTTTCTTCTGTGTACGGTGGGGATGCTCGTGATCACTCTGTCACAGAATTGTTGTGTAGACTAAAAGCATTTGGCGGGACCCTTAAAGGTGATAGCTGTTATGTTATAACCCACCTTCTGTATGTGTTCCTGCTATGTCCTTACACTAGTGACTTTACCTTCCTAAGCCTCTCTCATTTATTTCCTGTCTGTCAAATGTGTATAATAATAGTGACCAACCTATCATGTTATTATGAGGATTAACCGAAGTAAGATTTATAATGTACTTAGTATAGTGCCTTGGCTTAGTAAATGATAAATATTACAGCTGTATTTTATCACATTTTGAACCAGTTTCAGTGTTCAATATTAATTTAAGTGTCTGCTATTTTTTCATTATTGAAGATAATTTAGCATTTCTTTCCATTAAAGTACATTTGATTTTGTTGCACAGTTTGTGAAAGAGACAGACAATGAAGTAAGAATGCGACTGTTACAGTTTGTCACTGGAACCTGTCGTTTACCTCTGGGAGGATTTGCTGAGCTCATGGGTAAATGTAGTTTTATTACAGTTTGTTTCTTGGTTTTTTTTTTTTTTTTTTTTTTCATTATAGTTTGTTTCTTTGTTTTTGTAGATAATAAACAGACTTAAATCTAAGGATTTTTTTCATTATAGGTTTTTTTCATTATAGTTTGTTTCTTTGTTTTTAGTAGATAACAGTGGCCTTTAGACATATAACAGATTTGAATCTAAGGATTATTCTGTGTTCTCTGTTGGGCTTCTTCCAGAATAAAGAAAAGTAAATGGTTATTATCAAAGGCATTTGTAAGACAAAAATGAAAGTCTCCTCATATTGCCTAAATGGCTTTTATTTTGTTCTCTAAGGTGATTGTGAAAGGAGCAAGATTCTGCAGAAATCATTTTCTTTCCACCAATGTGATTCTTATTGCTAAATCTCTGTAGCAATCAGAATCTTATCTGGAAAGAAGCAATTTACATCGTGAATTTCTTCTTTTGTATATTTTTTGTCATGTATATGGCTATGTGACGTGTTCTGTTATTTAACTAGTTGTCAAAACCAAAAAATTTAATAGACCAGATAAATTTTGTCTTATTTTCCTGGTTTAGGAAGTAATGGGCCTCAAAAGTTTTGCATTGAAAAAGTTGGCAAAGACACCTGGTTACCAAGAAGCCATACATGGTAAGATCAAGAATCCTAAAGAGGAAGGTGAAAGCTACAGAGAATTGTTCTTTGAGTTTTTTTAAACATACAAGATTCAGTGTAACTGCTTATTCATTACTCTAGTCAGAATTTCAGAAGACTGATCAATACAACATTCTTTAGAAACTGCAGAATGATTTCTTACTATTTAATAGAAATATTTGAGAAACGTATCCATTGATTCAACAAATTTAGAGTATCCACTATGTATAAAGTAAGATTTAAGTGCTCCCTGCCTTTTATAGAGTTTGTGCTCTTTGGTGAGGTACAACTGACAACAGGTTACAAAGAATTATTTGCAAATTCTAGAAAGTCCTTTGAAGGGAAATAACAAAGTGCCGTAAAGAGGACAACTGGAGAAAATCGCTCTGGATTTGAGTGCTCAGGGAGATTTCTGGGAGGGCTATGTTGGAGTTTGACAAGGGAAGAGGATTCATGAACAGAAATGCTAAAGGAAAGAAAGACCCTGAAATAATTCATTTTTCAGAGAAATAAAAAGATGATTGGTGTGACTGGAACTTGGTAAATCAGGAGATTGAAAGATGAAAAACTTTGGAAACAGAGACAGATATTAAATTATATAGAGACTTATAGGCTAATCTAATGAATTGGGATTTCAGTCTAAGGAAGTTAGACCGTTTTGAAGAGTTTTAAATAGCAAGTAATAGAATCTAAGAAAAATCCCTCTGGGAACAGTACAGAAAAGGAATTGGATGCAAGGGTGAATGCAGGAGATGAGGTAGAAAACGGTTATAGTTAATGTAGACAAAAAATGATAGCTTAGAGATAAGTGGTGGTTCTTCAGAAGGCCAAAAATTATTTTCATGCTAAGCTGTTATTTGCCTTTTTATAGTTTTGACATTTATACTTATGGTACACAAACAATGGTGGGTGAAAGGGCTGGTGGCATAGCACAAGTTCAGGCAGCAGCACCCAACTCCTACCTCTGTATTCTTCAACACCACACACTTGCAGTTTAAAGGAAAAAAAAATTGTTGAAGTTTGTTTTTTATGAAGTAGTAAAAACTATTACCTTTATTAAATTTTGATGCTTGGGTACATGTCTTTTATATCATTTGTACTACAAATGTGAAGGCTGCATGAGCACTTCTGAAAACCACATGGTGGTTTTCTAGAGGAAAAGCTCTTGGGCAGTTTGTTTGAATTAGAAGCTGAACTGTCTTTTTATTTATTTATTTTTTAAAAGAACCCTTTTTTTACTTCAAAGAATAACCAACAAACTATGTTTGTTCAGACTTGGGTATCTGGCAGACATTTTCTTGAAAAGTAACGAAGTAAGCCTGACAGTTCAAGGAAAACAACTGACATTTGTTGGCAATGATAGAAGTGGAGGTTGCAAGCAAATACTGTAATTTTGGAAAATTTGTATATATCACCATGAACTTGACAGCTTCTCAAACTTTACTGATAAGATTAGCAGAGTTATTAACAAATATGATCTCTTTTTATTACATAATTAAATGTGTCAACATTTAGAAAATCTTTATCACTTTGTGAGCCAGTGGTTTCAAATGACCAATGAACGCATAATGTTACAAAATCACACATGGTAGTGGATCCATTCAAAGTGCAGGAGACCAATGGATTTTATGTAATAAAGCACAAAATGTTCTTTGGTAAGATTTGAGCGCCTACACATGCATTATCTTTTCAGATTTGGTACAGTCTCAAAGAATAATATCCACATTTATGTGCAAAGATAATTAGAATACATCTTCATTTCTAATAACTACTTATCTGTGTGGGGCCAGATTTCATATACTTTAACCAAAACAATGTAGTGCAACAGATTAATGTATGAGCAGGTTTCAGAATCCAGATGTCTTTTATTAAGCCAGATATTAAAAAGATTTGTGAAACTACAAAACAAGATCATTCTTGCCATTATTTGGGGGGGGGGGAAGTCATTTTTTTCCTTCAAAATATGTTTATACCAAAATAGATTAATATTTTAAAAGTGTCTGTTTTAACTACTAACACAGTAAATATAAATAGATATAATTCACTTAAGCTTTTTGGCGTTCTCATATTTTTAAGAGTGAAAAGTTCCTGTGACCAAGAAAATTTAAGACCTCTGGCCTATGTTAAAGTAGATGTGACCCAGAGCAAGTGAGATTGTTGAGACAGGGGAGAGAGATAGATTTTAAATTTTGTGAAGGGAAAATAGAGATAGATTTTAAATTTTATGAAGGGAATATAGTTGTGAACTGTTGACTTTTGTTTTCTTGAATCACTGGCTAAGAGTGAAGAAAGGAAAATCTTTTGAGGAGAAATGAAATTGGCAGAGTTGTTAGAAAGCATTTATTATAGAAATGCAGCTAAGAATGCTGGACAATACTTAGGTTGCTTATTTGGATTTATTAGTTCATTTGAAATGACAACAGTCTCCTGAATGCATGCTTTTTCCTGCTAGCAACTTTCAGTTATTAAGGTACAAGGAATAAGAAAGCAGAAGATTGAGGCAGGATTTGAGTTTAGATTAGTTCAAAAGAGAGAATTCTGGAATTTAAAAGTATTTGCAATTACCTTTATAAATACAAATACAATATGATATAAAATGATGGAAGTGATTATAATTATGGACTGTGGAAAAAGAAAAAAGTGAGAGAAGGAAGAAGCATAGGACAGGATAGGATGAGGAGGAAGGGATAGGTTTCGTTTGCATTTAATTGAATACATTGGATGATGTCAAGAAGTAGGATTTTTAAATTAGAAATTTCCTTTACTGATAATGAGAAGGTCCAAGGTATGGTACCGGGGTCAGTAACGGAAGAGAGTAAAGGAAGAGATCACTAAAGGGGAGAAGGGCAAGGAGTAGAGAAGCCGTCAGATTGCACGTCATCATCCATGTGAATGAGGAGGACGGTGATCCAGGTGCCATGGCTGAAGGATGACCAAGAGGTCAGCAGATAAAAGCAACAAGTTCAGAAAGGTTACATAGCTGGACAGTCTGTGGCTCAGATAAGGAAAGCATTATTGATTGGTCATGGGGAAATGATGTGTTTCAGACTTGCAGGATTCAGTTAGAGAAGAGTTATTAAGCAGAGACTGTTCATCATGAAATAGAAATTCAACACAATGGATTGTAAAGATCTGAAATGGAGGGTGTGGTTGGTAATTCAGATTGGGGGACATACAGGTCAGTATTAGGATGAGCATTTGGAGAAAAAGAGGTAATCCAGAAAGACTTGCATTTTCAGCAATAAGTAAACAGTGATATTACTAGGGATGGAATTACTTTTGATGATACCCAGAGGAAGAGAAGGCACAGGATGCTACTGTTGTTGTCTCCAATAGTGAGGTGATTGCTTTTAGCCTTGCTGCTTTCCTCTGGCTATATGCAGTGCTATACAGCAAGCCAAAGGGTGCTGTTCCTCAGACGACATGGGAAATGTGGGGGTCAGTCTCTTCCCTTTTTCTGGCTAAGAAAGTAGAAGTAATTTGATTGGAGATAATTTAATTGGATAAGAGATGATGGGGAAATGTAAATACCAGGCTATAGTAGCTATAGAAATGATCAGGAGGGGAAATGAGAGGGTTTGGTAGATAGAATAGCAGAATTTGGCAAAGGCTATTACGTGAAAGATGTTGAACTAGAAAGGGAATAGTTGTCTATATTGAAAAATAAAAATTTTTCCTGATCTGCCTGTCAGACTACCTTGAAGTAGTTAAGTAGAGGATTATACATCATCTGCTCAATTGCTACCACTGATATATTGAACTTATTATAGAATACAAGGAGAAGCATATGGTCTGAGATCAATGCTGTTTTAATTAGCTGCCTTGTTTCAAAGGTTCTTGGATTTCAGGTTTCCTGACTCTTATATGGGGAAGTGGTGGAATGCTAGGAGCACCTGAATAATCTGAGGAAAACTTCCCCATGAGGAAATGAAAGTACAGAAAGGTTCTGACTGGCTCAGAGCTAGTTCACTCGTCACTGATAGAGTGGGGACCAATCCAGCTATTCAGTGGATTCTCACAAAATGAAATTTTATTCCACCTTTGTAAATTGAAAGACGAAATACATTGTTATTTTAAGCATTTTTCAGGTTCTCATCAGTTAATCCCAGAGGAAATGTTTGAATCTCGCAGGACTGAAAAGATCATTTTAGAAGATTATACATATAGTCAGGTTATTTGAAAAGACAAAAGTATATTTTTGTTCATTGACTTTCTAACTCAGGATGTAAGTTCCCTAAGGATAGGGACGCTAGTTTTTCATCAGAGTATCACCAGTAAAAGACTAATTCATGGATGAATGAAGAAGTGATTGAAAGAAATGAGAGAAATGGACTTTTAACCCAAGATAAGTTAGGAGGACTCATGATGCATGTAGTACAGGAATAGTATAGAAAAGAGAAAAACAATGATTTTTTAAAAAATTCTAGTCTTTATTCATATTACTATAATTATTGTTTGTAATTTCTTTTATTATGTGGGAAATGTTGAAATATTTTTAATGTATAGCTCTTAAATTTGAGTAGATTGCTCTAAGAAATTTAGATATGATTATATATTAAGTAGTAAACTGTTTAGAATTCTGCCATGATTTTTACATATATATACATGTATCCATTCAGCTTTTTAATGTGCTTCTAAAAATAATTGTACTAGAAAACTTTTCTGAGTTTCTTGTAACGAAACCATCTGATTGTGTTTTTTTGTTTTTGTTCAGTTTTAATCGCTTGGATCTACCACCATATAAGAGTTATGAACAACTAAAGGAAAAACTTCTTTTTGCGATAGAAGAGACAGAGGGATTTGGACAAGAATGAACATGTGGCTTCTTATTTTGGAGGAGCTCTTGCATTTAAATACCCAACCAAGAAAAATTGCACAGATAGTGTATATAAGCTGTTCATTCTGTACAGTGAATTTTCTGAACCTCTCAAAGTATAAATGTTTTTCGTTCTTCCACAGAAATATGCAAAACAATTCATCCTTTTCTACTTTATTTATTGTTCCCTTGAAATGACTGACCAGGAAAAAGATCATCCTTAAATTTTGAAGCAAGCAAGAGACTTTATTAAAAATAAGAAGTATATATCTATATAAGCATATATGATAGTGGCTCTAGTTTTATAGAGCTCCAAGTGTATTAAACATGACAGCCATTCATTCAAAGAGATCTGGATTTGCTTTACCTTGTTTGTATCATCCAGGGGAAAAAGTGCGACTTGCTCCGAGGTCTTCTCCCTTATTAACATCTCCTAAGGGGTGTTTAGCTGCATGGCTGTTCAGGAAGGTATTAAGGGCTTAGGCCAAATCTTACTTTGACTATGTTTCCCAAAAATGCTGCTGGCTTTTCTGAAGACAGGTGCTTAAACCTGTCAATCTGTTTTAAATAAATACAATAGTTAAAAAAAATTTCCCTCTTTGCTACATTAGTAATACAAAATAATGAATGAAACCATAACTTACATGAAAATCATATACTAGATGCATTTAGTTTGTTATAGAGATTGGGAAGATTTCATCGAGCAGCACAGAGGTTTGTTTACATGTTACTTTGGGATACTAGGTATTTGTGGAATTAAAAAGAATCAGGTACTTCTATACTTTTGTTTTTAAATCTGTGATGGTCTTCAAATTTAATTTATAATAAATTGATGCAGTTTGATACTTAGCAACATGTAACAGGTAATGAGAACTTTGCTGCTTTTGTGTCCAAAGATTTGGTTTTATAATACCAGATGGATTCAAGAGTTAGATAAGTGAACACTCAAAACAAGTAGGAGACTAATGATTTTCTATTGGTGTTTGAATACCTTATTCCTCTTAACTTCATGACAGTTCTATGTATCTGAATTAAATAAGTATATAAAAAATCTTTTGGCTCCCCCCTTTTTACATAGATCAAGCTACTTTTCTCCTAAGTAATACTTTTTACTTGTTTTTCATTATAAGGCATTTCATGAACTACAAAGATGTTTAACAAATTAAAATCTGGTGTGAATATGCTAATTTTAACAAACTGGGCTTCCAGTTATTACAAAAATTTAAATGTCCATTTGTATTATCCTTTCAATATTCGCTGTAAATTTCATTGCTTAACATTTTTTTGATGGAATTGACTTCTTTTTTTTTTTTTTTTTTTTGAGACGGAGCCTCAAGCTATCCCCCTGGGTAGAGTGCCATGGCATCACAGCTCACAGCAACCTCCAACTCCTGGGCTCAAGCGAGTCTCCTGCCTCAGCCTCCCAAGTAGCTGGGACTACAGGCGCCCGCCACAACGCCCGGCCATTTTTTTTTGGTTGCAGCCATCATTGTTGTTTGGCGGGCCCGGGCTGGGGATTCGAACCCACCACCTTAGGTGTATGTGGCTGGCGCCTTAGCCGCTTGAGCCACAGGCGCCAAGCCGGAATTGACTTCTTAAAATTTCACTGCTAAATCCATACAGAAAATACTAGTATATAATTTAACTTCCACGAATAGTGGGTTTTGTTTTGCCAAACTTTTCTTTTTCTATATACAAATTTAGAGTGTGTTTTGCATTTTCATTCAAATTTCATAGTAAAGATGAAAGAAAGGCAGTGATTCACTTGGTTCACTTTTTTCCCATATCCTAATCATAGAAACTCTGATTTTCAAGTCTAAAGAACTAAAAAAAAAAAATTCTAATGTGTGTGGCAGGTTATGCAATAAACACTGACCAGTCTTTAGAAAGGATTGCTTAAATTATACCAGAATTAGACATACACTGCTGTATGAATGTTGCTGACAAAGTATCATTCAGTGAAGGTTGTGTGAGAATACCACTTAGAAGATTTGACTGAAGGAGGCAGCTTTCACGTGGGGTTTCAGGATGCCGGTCCGCCCCTCCTCACTTCAAGTAACAAATTATGTACTAACTAGGTGAGGTTACACAGAATCTACAAAAAGACCAGTTTGGAGAACTCATCAGGGTCGTCTGTCTCTCATACTAGCCAGACCTCACCTCATACCTTCTCTCTCCCCTTCCTATCTCCTTTTCTGCTGGACTAACCAAAGAAATTACAAATGCAAGACTCACTGTGCCTCTACAGGGAGACAAACAGGGAGGCTCTGAGAGAAGTTCAGGTTGCTACTTCATTTTGGTGACACTCCACCAATACCTCCAGTAAACCGAGCCCAGGAAATAGATCAGACCCCTACCACAGTTCTATCAGTCAGCTCAGTTTAGTTGTCTGTCACCTGGGGGAAACCTCTAAGCCAAGGGTCCTCAAACTTTTTAAACAGGGGGCCAATTCACTGTCTCGCAGACGGTTGGAGGGCCGGACTGCGGGCTCCAGGACGAGTTGGCTGCCAAGCAGGTCAGGCAGCGGCGGCAAAAACACCCAACGGGCTGGATAAATGTCCTAGGTGGGCCGCAGTTTGAGGACGCCTGCTCTAAGCAGTTTAAAGTGAAAAGGTTAAAACTTTTTCACCTGCTGACTTCAATTAACAGCCAACCTTCCTACCCTGAAAAACTAGATAGAATGGTATGTGGCCACTATATTGCCGAACAACTTTATTTCTGCTAAAACTAACCTCAGGCTGGCTCAGTGCCTGTGCCCTCAAGTGGCTAAGGCGCCAGCCACACACACCTAAGGTGGCAGGTTTGAATCCAGCCCGGGCCCGCCAAATGACGGCTGCAACCAAAAAGTAGCTGGGCCTTGTGGCGGGTGCCTGTGATCCCAGCTACTTGGGAGGCTGAGGCAGGAGACTTGCTTGAGCCCAGGAGTTGGAGGTTGCTGTGAGCTGTGATGTCACAGCACTCTACCCAGGGGGACATCTTAAGCTTGCTTAAGCCCAAAAAAAAAAAAACCTCAGGCCAAGTGGCGTGGCTCATGTCCATAATCCCAGCACTCTGGAAAGCCAAAGTGGGACAGTCACTTGATTCCAGGAGTTGGGGACCAGCCTGGTCCCCAATATAGTCATGCTCCATTTCTACAAAGAAACCTAGAATTGAACATAGTCAGGCTCCATCTCTACAAAGAAACCTAGAATTGGCTGAGTGTGGTAGTACGTGCCTGTAATCCCAGCTACTTAAAAGGCTGAGGCAGGATTGCTTGAGCCTAGGATGTTCAAGGCTACAATGTACTATGATCAGGCCACTGCACTGCAGGCTGGGTGAGCTTAAAACCAGTCTCTAAAACAATAAAAACGACCCCCAACTGTTAAGTTGTATTGAAAAAACTCCAGATACGTGATAGAAAGTTACGGCTTCAGGCTTCTCTGAGCAAGAAAACCTCTTGTAACTGCATGTCACATAAGGAGATAATAGTTCTTGGAGAGCTATGTCTGCTACACAGACTGCTGTTGTTATCTTCTGGAGGGTCAAGACTGCCCTGCTGGTCTGCAGTAATTCCTATCCTATAGCTTTCTAAGTAAACTGGTTACAAATGTAGTCCATTGTAGGTTTAAGTCTGAATGTTTGATTGGACCTAAGATCTGGTGGATTTTGCATAAGCAGAAATCTTGAAATATGCAAATGAGAGAATAAAAGTTCTCTTTTACAACATTCCCCACTTTCCTTAATCAATTGAACTTAAAAGCTAAGCTTCAGTTCAGCTGGGGATCTGCATCTCCTGGCTCAGCGCCCATGGCACAGTGGTTACAGTGGCGGCCACATGCACTGAGGGTGGCAGGTTCAAACCTGGCCCGCCAAGCAACAATAACTTAAAAAAGTAGCTGGGTGTTGTGGTGAGTGCCTGTAGTCCCAGCTACTTGGGAGGCTGAGAAAAGAGAATTGCTTAAGCCCAAGAGTTTTGGAGATTGCTGTGAGCTGTGAAGCCGTAGCACCCTACAGAGGGCAACATAGTGAGACTGTGTCTCAAAAAAACCCCTCAAGTCAGGGAAATTTTGCTTTCAGTTCTTACAGGATCATGGCCACTTCCCAAATTCAACTTTTCTTTTTGTACCTCAAAAGAAGGAAATATCCCTAAGAGAGGTACCACCCATAGCCTAAGTGTTTAGAAGACAGAGTACTACAAACTTCCACATATACGTATATGGTATAACCATCACAAATCAGCAGCGTCAGCTCCGGAATGCACACGTAAGTCGGGGGTATCACTGCACAGGAAGGAGAATGTAAGGGGGTCCCAGGGTTCACTTTTGAAAGTGGCAGGTCTCACCTTAAGTGGGGAAATGACAAGAATCAAAGTGACATCTGGTTCCTGAGAAGTCAAATAGAAGAGACTTAGGGCACAGACTCAGAAGGAAAAAAGGAAATAAAAGCTGTATAAGGAATCCAGCAACCACATTCCTGGGCATTTATCCCAGAGGGAAAATTTATCTTAACATAAAAACCTGCGTATAATGTTCTGGCAGCTTTATGTATAATAACCAAAAATTTGAGAAAACTTAATACCATTCAGCAGGTGGTTAGTAAGACTGGTATGTCCATCCTTTGTACAAGGAAATACTAGTCAACACTAAAAAGCAAAAAATTACTGACAGAACTTAAAGTGTTTTCCAACTTTATCTCATAGCACACACAAAAAAAAGGGTAAAAAGAATATACTTACTATGCTTTGAACTTAAAAAATAATTTAATGGCCTTTAAAAATTTTTGTGGAACACTGGTTGAAAATCATAGACTTGGATGGCTGAGTGAAAAAGTACAGTCTCCGATGTCATACCGTATGCTTCCATTTGTACAATGTTCTTGAAATGACAGAACAGATTAGTGATTTCGGGGAAGAGCTGTAAGGGGAGAGGAGCTGAGTGGTGTGACTACAGACCAGTGTTTTTCAACCTTTTTATCTCATGGCACACTTGAACCTATAAACTTCCACAGCATACTTAAATTACGTTGATCAAGAAAAAGTAAATAACACTGGGCTTTGAACTTCTTTTCAAAATAATTTAATGATCTTTAAAATTTTCGAGGCACACCTAAGATTTTCTCATGGCACACCAGTTGAAAAGCACTGCTAAAGAGAGAACACTAGGATGTTTATGGTAACGGGACAGGTCTGGATCTTGGTTGTGGTGGAAGTTACAAAAATCTCCACGTGATCAAACTGAACAGACCTATAAAAAGTGAGGGCATCTGAAGTGGTAAAATCTGGAAGGTTTATGGCCTATACCAGTATCAGTTTCCTGGTTTTGAAACTCTGCTACAGTTAATACAAGATGTTACCACTGCAGCAGACAGAAAAGGGCACTACTTTTTATAACTTCCTATGAAAGTATACTTCAAAGTAAAAATCTCTTTAAATTGTATGAAGTATTAGAGGATAAACCCTCTCCTCCATAAAAAGTTTTATTACTGAAAAATATCTCATTTCAAAAAACAACTTAACAGATGGTATTCTTAAACTAACTCAACCCCTTGCTCACCTCCTTCCATTTGATGTCCTGGAATTTCTAGTTAACTCACCACACAAAAAATATCATTCTTGGGGGAAAAACACTTAACACGTTGACTGCCACACTAGAAAACGTTTTTCTAGTTTTGGAGACACTGTTTTATTTACAAAAATAGAATAAAAACCTTAAAAAAGATCCTAAAGCATAAGTCATTAAAAGTAATATAAAAACTTGAAAAATAGTTCATTAGGTTAAAGTGTTTTTCTTGTCAGGCTTAAAAGTGTAATTTAAAGGTAAACATAAATAGAAAAATGAAATGTACAGACTTCTATTCATTTAATCAACATTTATGGAATTATCTATTGATTTTCACAATAAGAACATCAACAAGTAAGATTTTCACAAACCAACTGCAGAGTTCTGCCCAGGCGGTTGCCCATCAGGTAACATGTGTGCTACAACATGGCAGCATGAGTTGCCTGGATACCATGTGGATCCAAAGGTCCAGAGACATGTATGTTATGTAGGCTTCACAGGCCCTGGGCTCAAAATCTGCATGAGTTAACTACAATGTGTGAATTCACATTAGCATATTATATTAAAGAATCTTACGTTTTTTTCTCATTTTAAATTTTATTTTTAAGAGTGAGCTTAACACATTAAGTGCCTTGTGAGCTGTATTTGTAAATAAATAATTGCAGAAAATGAAAAAAAAATCCAAAGTAAAAATTCGAAAACTCAGAAGTAGGCAAACAAAACATTTTTTGTTTGAAAATGGCTGGCTGAAATAAGGAAAGAAATTGAAGAAAAAGACAAACATCTTAGAAATGAAAATAGTAAACTATCTAAACTTTGCAGGGGTCCTCAAACTTTTTTTTTTTTTTTTTTTTGAGACAGAGCCTCAAGCTGTCCCCCTGGGTAGAGTGCCGTGGCATTACAGCTCACAGCAACCTCCAACTCCTGGGCTCAAGCGAGTCTCCTGCCTCCGCCTCCCAAGTAGCTGGGACCACAGGCGCCCGCCACAACGCCTGGCCATTTTTTGGTTGCAGCCGTCATTGTTGTTTGGCGGGTCCGGGCTGGGGATTCGAACCCGCCACCTTAGGTGTACGTGGCTGGCGCCTTAGCCGGTTGAGCTATAGGCGCCGAGCCGGTCCTCAAACTTTTTAAACAGGGGGCCTGTTCACTGTCTCTCAGACTGTTGGAGAGCCGGGACTGCGGGCCCCAGGGCAAGTCAGCTGCTAAGCAGGACAGACAGGGGAGGCAAAAACACCTGGCAGGCCGTAGTTTGAGGATCCCTGAATTAAAGAATACATACAGCTGGAGGTTAAATAAGGTACATGGAAAATAGAAATGAGTCAAAGAAAATGAAACAAGAAGTTTAAAAGGAAAGTTAGACTGTTAGAAATATGAAAGTCAGACAAAGGAGATGTAATATAATTAATTGGAGTTCCTGAAAGGAAAAATGAACAGTGGTTCTCAAAGTGGGGTCAGTTAGGTCACTATTAAGACAACTGGACTGTCCTCTTTCAAAAAAAATCTGAGAAGACAAAAGACAGGGAAGCCCTTCCATATTCAAAGACTACCAGCAGGTCAAATGCAATGGATAATCTTTGGATCCTGGGTTTAAAAAGGATAAAGACATTTTGAGACATCTGAGGAAATTTGAATATGTCTGGATATTAGATGATATTAGAGAATTATTAACTTTTCTAGCTATTACAGTGGATTTGTGTTTGGGAAGATGACCTATTTTGAAAGGATGCATACTGACAGATTTAGGAGTAAAATACAATGATATCTGCAATTAATTTCAAAATTTTATAAATAAACATGTATAAATGTACATATATAACAGGTTGAGCACCCCTAAACCAAAATTCCAAAACCCAAAAATGTTGAGCACTGACCTGATGGTACAAGCAGAAAATCCCAAGGTTTTTTATAGGTATGTACAGCTCACAGTCATGACGCAGGGGCACAACAGTTTGCTCAGTCTCCCCAAGGGAACAAAGACCCTCCCAGCCCTTTAAAAAGTCATCCAGCAGAATGCCTCATCATCCCTACAGGACCCACTTCCTGGTCCCTCAACAACTTCTCACCTAGAAAAGAATAAAACAGCATCGTGGATGGAGAATGAAACCCTGCCATTGTTTGTTGTTGAACAGTTGACATAGGTATTCTGGTGATGCTACTATGCTGCTTAGTTACCTCGAACCCATTATTTTTGCACTGTATTAATGGCATGTCCTTTTTTTTTTTTAACTGCTAAGTGTCTGAACAGGTGTAAAAAAAGTATTGCTTACTGTACTGGTAGCGCATAAATTCAATCAGAAATTATGCTGATGCCAAACCACCGCACATCACCCACTTAGGTGGCTGAGGTAGGGACTTTCTTGCTTGCTGATGCTCCAGTGTACACAAACTTTGTCTGATGCACAAAATTATTTAAAATAGTGTGTAAATTTACTTTTAGAATATATGCATAGGTATATATGAAACATAAATGAGTTTTGTGTTTGGACTTGGGTTCCATCCCCAAGATATCTCCTTACATAAAATGCCAATATTCAAAAATCAAAAAAATCTGAAATCTTCACTGCTTCTAGTCTTTCTAGATGAAAGGATTTTGACTTGTATAGCAAACCCACTGAATCTGAGAGATGGTTATGCACAGTTCACTACTTTAAATTTTCCTTTTGTTTGAAAATGTACCTGATGAAAAACAGAAACAACACATACCACACAGTTCACTGTGACATTACAATTCTATCCTTTGGGAAAAATCCATCAACATATACATATGGTCTCAGATTCATCTAGTGGCATTCAAAATACTTAGTTTACAAAACTTAAGATTTGCAGTGGTGGCACTTCAGCTTCAAGTTAAGTAGCATTGCCCTGCTATTTAAGACATTTTAATTTCCCTTTCATGCTTAAGTCCTGTGTCCTTTCATCCCAGTAGGGATTAAAATTTGGTTTAGTGATAAATTCAAACCACTGTGAGACTACACCATATTTTAAAAAGGAAGCCACTTCATTTTCAATCTTTTCCTGACTTACATCCTTATGCAGATCAACATCCTATCTTCCCCTGAAGCTTTTCTACAAGATCCTAACTTTGAATCAATCCACCCTGAAAATCCACTTCCCTGTATGCCTCTTCTGCAGACAGGAGGTCTCCTCTTATCTTGGTCTCCTCTCATCCCGATACGATCAATCCTTAGAAATTTCATACCATTTTGTATTGTTAATGTCCCAGATGCAAACTAATCTCTCTGCCTGAGCCATGGACATTTATCTCTACCACTCTTACGGCAATATGACAATTATTTCTCTTACCTTATTATTTGTAAGGAAACCTAGAATTTTGTATACTTAGATCTGTTAAATAGTCACAACATTAAAAGCTGAAAAAACAGCCAAAGAACAGGTATGGCTAATGTATTTATAATTCAATGAAAAGATAATCTTCATCAGATGTTTCATTATTCTCTTCTCTGAAAACTTCTCAATTCTTATCACTGAAACCTGTAAGCAACTGAGCAGCTTCTGTGTGTACCTACAATGGGAAAATATATGTTAGAAACAGTACTGCTTAAAGAACTAACTTGTGAATCTTAAGTTTATAAAGTAGAGAATGGTTTCTAAGAGTGTGTCCAAAAACCAGAATAGGACATTCTAAGAATAAAATTTTCTGACAGTGACCAGATGAGACTCCTGGAGGACTCTGCCACTTTACTATAAATCCCTTGACTTTTATGTTTTAGACATTTTATTTGATGTGCCTTCTATGTCAAACATTTAGAAATAATTATGTATTACAGTAAGCAACAGATAACATCTGTAGTGATAGTAAACATTTCCTATATAGAAATTAATGTGAATGTTAATGAATTCACATCTGAAATGAATCCACTTATTTTCACCAATATTATACATTTAGACAATTACATTTTTAAAGAAGTTCTTAATTCACCTTTATTCAATAGTGCCCCCCCTCCCCCCGTAAAACTATCTGCCTTACTTTATGGGAGATGTTTTACCTGTTTATCCTCTTCTGTGTGTGCTGGATAGTCCTTGGCTTTCATTAGCCAGAAAGCAGCAAGCTTTTTGTTGTGTAGTTTCAAATATGTCTTTCCTAAAAGAAGCAAGTTTTTGCTGTAGAAGTTTGGATCCACTGTACATAAAAAAGAAAAAAAAAGTCATCTCAGATGAAACAGTGCTGCTTTTATTTTTAAAGGTTTTGTTTTTCTGGTCTTAATTCCAGTAATACATTTGTGTGGTCAGTAAGTGAATAGGATAATTAGAATTCTTGTTTGTTCAACTATTCATATATTTGTAAATTAATATTATTTATTGAATGTATACAATGTGCTAAGTACTGAATTATAATTTCTTGCTTTCCCAATAATTTGTAAAAAAAAATTTTTTTTTGGAGAGTCTCAGTTTGTCACTCTTGGTAGAGTGCCATGGCATCACAAGCTCACAACAACCTCAAACTCTTGGACTCAAGTGATTCTCTTATCTCAGCTTCCCAAGTAGCTGAGACTACTGGTGCCCGCCACAACACCCAGCTGTTTTTAGAGACAGGGTCTCACTCTGGCTCCGGCTGGCCTGGAACTCGTGAGCTTAGGCAATCCACCTGCCTTGGCCTCCCAGAGTGCTAGGATTACAGGTGTGAGTCACCACACCTGGCTAACAATTTGTAAAATAGGTTTCACCATTTCACAGATAAGAAGCTGATGCTCCAATGAAAACATAAGCTATGTAAGGTGATCTTCTTTTTAATCTCTTTTTTCCCCTTCAGTACCTCAAGTGCCTAAAACAGTGTCTAGAACATAACATACATTCAGTGTACATTTGCTGAGTAAGTCATGATGATCTACACAAACACACACCATCAACAGTTACTGAATGTGAGCTACATTTAAATATATAGTAGATAGAGGATGAGACAAAATCTCTGCTCGTTTGAAATTTATAATGAAAAGGAGAAAGAAACATGAACACAACTAAATGTAATGTAAGAATGAAAGGAATGCTTTATCAGATATACAGACTTTAAAGTGCTTTAAAAAAGAAAAGAAAAAAGCAACTAAGAGAGTATACCTGAGCTGATTTGGAAGCTAAATACCATTTTAACAGAAAAAAAGTGAAGAACATTCTTGGCTGAGGGAAAAGTATGAACAAAAAGTCTGTGAATGAAGTATGGAACTTTTGGCCAGGTGTAATAGCTCATGCTTGTAATCTTAGCACTCTGGGAGGCCAAGGTAAGTGGATCATTTGAGCTTAGGAGTACAAGACCAGCCCGAGCAAGAGCAAGACTTTATCTTTACTAAAAACAAAAAAATTAGCTGGGCACTGTGGCAGATGTGTATAGTCCCAGCTACTTGGGAGGCTGAGGCAAGAGGGTCACTTAGGCCCCAGAGTTTAAGGTTGCTGTGAGCTATTGATGCCATGGCACTCTGCCCAGGGCAAGAGTGAGACTGTATCTTAAAAAAAAAAAAAGAACTGGGCGGCACCTGTGGCTTAAAGGAGTAGGGCGCCAGCCCCATATACTGGATGCGGTGGGTTCAAACCCAGCCCCGGCCAAAAACTGAAAAAAAAAAAAAAAAAAGAACATATAGAACTTTCAATAACGTCTTTAATCTGAACATTCTGAGACCCTCTATATTCAAAGCATACTTTTTCCTGAATACAATTAATGATTACTACTTTTATTTGAACATATTTATGTGATACCATATTGGTATACTTAAGTCCTTGGGTTTAAGTAGATTCATTCATTTATTCATTCATCTGTTGTTACTTAATCATTCAGCAAGTTTACCAAGCACTGTGCTAGACAATGAGGATCCAAGTATGAGCCAAAATGACAATGTCCCTCCTATCTTTCCTAAATTTATAGTGTAAGTTATATAAATAAATTTTCATAGTATGAAGTGAAATGGACCATAATGGGAGAAGTAAAAGATACTAAGAGTATAGGAGGAGCTTTTGAACTACATATGAACCATAAACTGAAGCTACCTACAGGGAATGACCTCTAAGGTCAGGTCACTGGAGGACTATCTGCAACAGAACAAAAAATGAGCCTCCTTTAAAACCAAAGTTCCCATTTAAATACCTCTCATTAGCTGTGTAATCTTGAATAAGACAGCCCATCAGAAACTCCTCTTAAAGAGGCAGGCTGAATTCATCAAATGAAGAACCATTTCTAGAACTGCAAATCGACATTAAGTAGCAGCTTATTTCTTATTCAGGTGATCGTTACTAAATAAAGACTTTAAAAATTACTTCAGAATACCTACTGCACAAGGAGGTAAAACAAAATAAGTATCTTTGTTTTAGAAGTTCCTATTACAGTATATATTCAACATTTGTAAAATCTTAACTATATTAACACATAAAATAAAAAATTCCTTACCTTGTTCTGCCCTGTGAAAGTAGCGTAAGGCCTGTTAAAAACACAAAAAACCCAAATATAATGAAAAAGAGCAAAACACACTTAATATAAAAAATGCATTTCCTTAAAGATATATTCTTATTTTAATGTAAGTCAGGAAATAAATCATCTCAAAGTAATAGTTCTTTAAAAATGAATGCTAACATGGCCAAATTGAACATAACACTATTGAATCATCACAGGTTAAGACTACAATAGTATATTGGCCCACTGCAGTGGCTCATGCCTGTGATCCTAGCACTCTGAGACTGAGATGTGTGGACGGCTTGAGCTCAGGAGTTGGAGACCAGCCTAAGCTAGAGTAAAACCCCCATCTCTACTAAACAGAAAAAACTAGCTCGGCACGGTGGTTTGTACCTATAGTACCAGCTACTGGGGAGGCTGAAGAAAGAGGAACTCTTGAGCCCAAGAGTTCAAGGTTGCTGTGAGGTATGATGACACCATGGCACTCTACAGAATGAGACTCTGTCTCAAAAAAAAAAGGTTATAATACATGGACTACTTCCAGTAGTAACTTGCTTTTGCTTGCTGTTGAGAACTTCTACTCAACTAGTATGGCAGGCCGAAAGGAAAGAACATTTACCATGTGTAACTCAGCTATTTCACTAGTGACTACTGATAAAAACTTGACAGAGGCTGGGTGCAGTAGCTCACAACTAAAACCCCAGCACTTTAGGAAGCCAAGGCAAGAGGACTGCTTGAGGCCAGACGTTCAAGACCAGCAAGACCCCATCTCTTAAAAAAAAAAATTCAAAATTAGCCAGGCATAGTGGCACACACCTGTAGTCCTAGCTGCCAAGAGACAGAAGACCTGCTTGAGCCTAGGAACTCAAGGTTCCAGTGAGCTTTGATCACACCACTATACTCCAGACCAGGAGACAGAATAAGATGCTGCTGTTTCTTAAGGAAAAAAAAACCTAGATACAATTAAAAGTTGAATTTATTGAGTAATACAGAGGTTGTACCAATAAATTTTTATAGAAGTTATTATTGAATAAGCAATTACCACATACAATGCTAATATGTGTCTGAAACTTTTTATCCCACTTAACTTGTTTTTGTGATACATTATCTAATGACATTTAATTATTAGAAACATAACCAACTTGTAAAGCTATTATCTTTTTTCCTAAGAATTCGTCTTTTTAATAACAATATTTCCCAACTCTGATCTAATTATACAACTAAATATCCTTTACATCAATCTCTACATGTTAACCTCCCAGAAAAAGAAAAATAAGTCCTTGTTATGACACTAGTATTAAGGGAATTTTTTTTTTCTGAGGGACAGAGTCTCACTCTGTTGCCCCCCATAAAGTGCTGGGGCATCCCAGCTCACAGCAACCTGAAACTCTTAGGCTCAAGTGATTCTCTTGTCTCAGCCTCCTAAGTAGCTGGGACTACTGATGCCCACCACAATGCCCCGCTATCCTTTTAGAGATGAGGTCTAGCTCTGGCTCAGGCTGGTCTTGAGCTCGTGAGCTCAAGTGATTCACCGGCCTTAGGCTCCCAAAGTGCTAGGATTACAGGTGAGAGCCGTGTCTGGCCTGGGAGAGCTCTTTAAATTGCTTTTTCCCTTACTCTGAAAATTTTGTAATAAGTAAACCAAAAATGTTTACCCAGAAATTCCTTATAAATTTTATTTCTGACAGAAAAAGCAGAAGGCTTGAAAATGAGAGAACATAAACCTTTTAAACTAATTTTTTAAAAAGTTATAACTACTATTCCTTTATCAATTCAAACACATGCTTTATCTGCCTAAATGTAGAAGTACCAGAAGCATGCTGGAGTACTCATTTCTTGTTCTATTTTATGACTTTAATTATATAGTATGGATTTCAAATAGCAAATGAAGGTAAATTTTAGCTATGACCTATCTTAGCAAATGACAATACTCCAAAATTATTAGCCACTCACCTATAGGGGAGGAAAACCACTCAGTCATAGATATTAAGTCTTAAGGCTTAGTGATAAGACAGTTGAATTGGATCTTAGAAACCTGCTCAACTCTCTCAGTGAATCAGAGTTCCTTATGTATGGACACAATAGAGTGGCGCTATGGTTAGGAAATCAGTACTAATTTAACAAAGGACATCACAGTACCTCTTCATAGGTGGAACTAGGAGGAGTTGCAAATAGTATTTTGGCGATTCTTCTTTGATACCAAGGCATTTCAGCAAACGTATAGCACCTATAGAGAAATAAAATAACATACTTTCAAATTGTACCCTCTTTTTTGCTCTTAAAAAGAATGTAGTGTCTTAATAAATATTATAAAAGGAATCTTCTATGTTTTAAAATTTGTACTTAACAGGAATATTCACTAGGTTATGTAAAAATTGACTTACTGTATTTTGCCATGTGTAATTCTCACTTTTGGCCAAAACTTTTTAGGGAAAAACATGGGTACATGTTAAACATTGGTAGTACTAATTCCATATCTTTATAAATGTTTTTAATTCTTTTATTTATGCTCATGCATTAAAAGTGTAACTCTAGAAAGCAATAATGATATCCATACACAAAATACCACCCTGGAATACAGTAATCACTTTCCAACTTACTACAACTTGGAACTGAAGTATTTTCAGCCAACAAAGAACAACATATTTCTTTCTCTTTGTACACTTTATGTGGGAGCTAGCAAACCAGTTAATGTTTTTTACTAAATTCCTTTATAACACAAAAAACAAGTATCTAAATATAAACAAATAAAAATTAAAATTTAAAAAGTACAATAAAAGATTTCTTCCTGAAAGTTTGAGCTCAAAACATGGGTGCACTTTATACACAGAAGTGCATTATACATGGCAAAATACAGGCACACTGATTCATTAGTTGGAGTGTACTGTGATTAAATATAAATAGGAAGCAATGGTATCAGCAATGGTACTTGATCGTCTACCACTGAGTGCACACTTTGTGCGAGTTGCTGGGCTAATTGTTTTCTCTCTTATCTCCTCACAACAACTAAATGAGAAAAGATCATTATCCCTACTGTTTTTAGTATAAGAGAAGTTCAGAAGCTAAACAATCTACCCACGAAAAGGTGACAAAAATGCATAAACAATAGCAACCAACAATTTAAGTCTATTTTTAAAGGGGTGAGGCAAATTCCTAACATCCAAAGATCTTCACAATTTTCTGAAATCTGGAAAGAAGTTTTAGATCTGGCTCGGCGCCTATAGCTCAACCGGCTAAGGCGCCAGCCACGTACACCTAAGGTGGTGGGTTCGAATCCCCAGCCCGGACCCGCCAAACAACAATGATGGCTGCAACCAAAAAATAGCCGGGCGTTGTGGCGGGCGCCTGTCGTCCCAGCTACTTGGGAGGCTGAGGCAGGAGACTCGCTTGAGCCCAGGAGTTGGAGGTTGCTGTGAGCTGTAATGCCACGGCACTCTGCCCAGGGGGACAGCTTGAGGCTCTGTCTCAAAAAAAAAAAAAAGAAGTTTTAGATCTTTGACTTAGAGTCTAAACTCCCAGAGACACAGATTGTTTCTCATTCATGTTTGCTTATTAGCATCTGAATCCTCTCTAAGTGTCTGTTAGTTTAATTTACTTCTCTCTCCCTCTTTATTTATTTATTCTTTTAATAGAGAGACAAGGTCTTGCTATATTACCCAGGCTACAATGGTGTGATCACAGTTCACGGCAGTCTTGAACTCCTAGACTCAAGAGATGCTCCTGCCTCAGCCTCCCAAAGTGCTGGGATTACCACACCCGGCCTATTTACTTCTCTTTTAAAAGAGTTTGGTGCAGGACTATTACTACTGACTCTTACAGACTATACCCAGTGGAAACAGTGGTGAACCCATCTCAAAAAAGATTCTTAAGACTTAACACATTAGTGTACCCTTATAACAGCAAAATAATAATCACATTGGACATAAGATCACATAAAAATAACAAGATGCTGAAAACCAGATTATATTTTTCCTGAGCTGAATAAAGACTGCATTTGACATATTGTGAAGATACGAAGACCCTCTTGGGGTATACTGCTATATTACTAAGGTGTCCTAAAGGTCACTATATACATACATACATATATGTATAGTATGTGTGTGTGTATACAAAAATGGGAAAATGCAGCTTAATGTACCTTTATAAAATATTCATTCTAAAATTTTACAAACTATTTCTCTACATGTTGATATATAAATGTAAAAAATATGAAATGGCATAATATGAGTCTGTTAGTTTTTCCTATTTATGGCAACTTTGGGATACCCTCTAGCCTAGATGAATCCAATTTCACTTAACATGGTAAGTGAAGATAGTCTTTTCAAACAAATGGAATTCAAAGGTCTATCAAAAAGTGATGAGGCATTTTTTGTTTGTACATGTTCCCAAGTGACCTGAATAACAATGTTTATTTAACATGATTGTAATCAAATTAAGTGTGTTATAATAATATATGCACAAGTGCCATTTAATGGACTGAACATGCTAAACTCAGTCAACTAATATTTTTAAATACTTTGTCTTGCTTTCTATGTGTACAAAATAAGGTATTTATACATACTATAAAATAAGAGCATACAAAGTACCACTGAAATATATATTTAAAGAAATTTTCTGGTGTGGTACCCATAGTTCACTGGTTAGGGTGCTGGCCACTTACCCCGGGGCTAGCGGGTTCGAACCCAGCCCAGGCCTGCTAAACAACAGTGACAACTAAAACAAAAAAAAAATAGCCAGGCATTGTGGTGGGTGCTTGCAGTCCCAGCTACTTGGGAGGCTGAGGCAAGAGAATTGCTTAAGCCCAAGAGTTTGAGGTTGCTATGAGCTCTAATGTCATGGCACTCTGCCAAAGACAACATAGTAAGACTCTGTCTCAAAGGAAAAAAAAAAACAGAGAAATTTTCTTACCAAATACCCATTAGGTGAATCGAAGTGGCATCTTTAGGGTTCAGTTCAATTGCTTTCTAATGAGAAATGAGAAAATTAATCATATTTGTTTTCCAAACACCAATGAATTCTTTACTATGCCAAAGAAGCCATGTATTAAAAAAAAAAATTACTACCCTATACCTGTTTTAATTCTTTTTTTATTTTTTAGAGATAAACTCTCAAGCTGTTGAGCTGGGTAGAGTGCTGTGGCATCATAGCTCAGAGCAACCTCCAACTCCTGGGCACAAGAGATCCTCTTAACTCAGTTTTTCTATTTTTAGTAGATGGGGGGGCTCACTTTTGCTCAGGCTGGTCTCGAACTTGTGAACTCAAGCAATCCACCCGCCTCAGCCCCTCATAGTGCTAGCATTATAGCCACGAGCGACTATGCCCGGCCCAATTCATCTATTATAATCAATAACAACCTTCCTCCTGATTCCTGATTAATACACTATTAATGACTTGTACTGAGGTTACATTTTATAAGGTTCGCAAACTGACAGCAGGGTCGATCAAGATGGGAACAAATATTAAATATAAAAATGAACGTAGGCTGGGAGTGGTGGCTCATGCCTGTAATCCTAGCACTCTGGAAGGCCAAGGCATGTAGACTGCTTGGGCTCATGAGTTTGAGACTAGCCTGAGCAAAAGTGAGATGCTGTCTCTACTAAAAATACAAAAACTCAGCCAGGCATAGAGGCACATGCCTATAGTCCCAGCTACTCAGGAGGCTGAGGCAAGAAGATTGCTCAAGCCCCAGAGTTTGAGGTTACTATTAGCTATGACGCTATGGCACTCTACCCAGGATGACAAAGTGAGGCTCTGTCTCCAAAAAAAGAATTTAACTTCAAAAACAGTAATGATCTATAGCTTTTAATGTTTTTTCTATGCTAAAGGAAAATAAATAAGAAAGTCCTTTTCAGGCAAATCCTAGATGAATACTGAATAAAAAAGCATTATTTCCTAAAAGAACTTATAGTAAGTAATTATACAAAGCTGCCTGTATGCAGAGTTTGTCAATTTTCCCACCTGTATATACTTATCAAAGGAAAAAAAATGCTATTTATTCATAGATTATATCAGTAGAATAATTATGTATAACATAAAATAAAATATGACATAAAAAAATCTCCCCGATTTTTGTTTACCATGTGAATTAGTATAAAGCATAAGCTATATGCTTATGCTTTTTTTAAAGTAACTTTAAAGAAATTACTCCTCCTTTTATCCATTATTTTGTTGAAAACCATTAACAAAATCTCACAAATTAATGTTCGTTAAAAATAATACTTAAAAAAAAAATCAAGACTTCCCAGTTTATGCTTTTTTATAAACCCACATACATTTTCACTTTTATTTTGGTGAGGTGTGAGATATACATTTTCAAATACAGTAGAACTTCCTAGTGACCACCCAAGGGATTGTAACAAATTGGTCAACATATGGAGGTGGCCAACATAAGGAACTAGGCCTGCTGCACTGATATGTCTGAGTCCATGTACTGCATGTCCAGTCTATAAAAATGAGGTCAACTTAAGGAGGTGGCCAATGTAGGGAGGTGTTCAACCATGGAGATTATACTGTTATTTATAATGATTAATAACCAGTGCTCTGAAGCCAGACTGCTAGGGTTCAAATCACAGCTCAATAACTCAACTTGCTGACTTTGACAAGTTCTATATTCTAAGTTTTCTCTTATAAAAAGTAATACACTTTCCTCATCAGGTTGTGGTGAAAACTAAATGAGCAAGTAACCAGAGGTGCTAAGTATAGTGATATTTCTATCACCACCATCACTCTTTTCACAAAATAATGCCACCTAATTTATTACTAGCATGTTAACACTGCTTAATGTTAATACTAGTTAACTCTAAAGACAGTAGCTAGAATAGGGATCATCAAATATGACTTGGCAGAAATGTTGCTTTGATAATGTGGATAACAATCAGAACTGATCTAAATTTTACTTCTTCAATATAGTGATATGATTAATAGCAAAATATATTTTAAAAATATGTAACTTAGTAACCTTTCCCGATTGGAGTGCTGCTAGAAAATTAAGCCCTACAAAAAATTCTGAGTTAATATTTTTTCCCTTCTCCTAAGAATAACTACTATAATACCATTCTAGATGACTGGGAGAGTAGCTAACTCATCAGAACAATGGATGCTTTGGGACATTAGGGTTTAATTTTGTAAAATTATGGAGATAAGCTACTTTCAAGTAAACCCTTCCTGCCATTAGTTTGCCTTTCAAAAACAATCCAAAGACAATAATTTCTTACTACTTTCGATGTATGATGGAATTTAAAATGGAAGTAGCATAAATGATTTTTTTATTATACATTGTATATTGTCATTTTAAATTTACACATATACATTTGAAAGTTTATACAAAACTTAAAAATAACGTATAGCCTTCTTTATAATCAATGAAGATACATTAATATATTTTTTGTAATTTATTATTATTATTATTATTATTATTTGAGATAGGCAGTGTTGTTGTCGCAGATCATGGCAACCTAAAACTCCTTGCTTGTCTCAAGCAATCCTCCCACTTCAGCCTCCTCCCCAAGTAACTGGGACAATAGGTGTGCTCCATGATACTCAGCTAACTCTTCTACTGTTTGTAGACACAGGGTATCACTATGTTGAACAGGCTGCTCTCCAACTCCTCACCTCAAGTGATCTTCCCACCTAGGCCTCCCAAAGTACTGAGATTACAGGTGAGCCACCACACTCAGCCTAATTTTTCGTTATTCACACGGGAAAGTATGCACTTCTATATCCTGAGATACATGGTAACTAGGCAATTTATCTAATGCCACTGAGCAAATTATTTTTCACAGAATCTAAAACACAAAAATATCATAACACCATTATTTTATGTGTCACTAAGAAAAAAACACTCAGAATTATACTGTGAAGTACCACTGATTACATAAAATAATCTGATTTCAACCATCTTAAACTATGAAACATGTAAATTATCAAATTGTAAAATACAAATTATTACATTACATATATTATAATCAATGCCTGAACAAGAAAGACTCGGTCTCCTGAGTCCCAGGCCAATGTTCTTTTTCACTAGTCATTATTCATGTAAACTAGGAATTGAGACTGCAACGATAAAATCAGGAAAAGCTATTTGTACAGCATATCCAGCTTTATAGCTTTGTATATTACCATCATTTTTTCTTCCTCTGTGTTTTCAAGATGGTCCACAATATCAAAAGAGAAATAAATATGCTGGTTTTTTGTGGTAGTTTGTTTTTTTTGAGGAAAGTATGTTATAAAATTCTTAGCATTTAAGGAGAGCTTACTATAAATAAGTGAATTAACTTTAGGTGAAAATATTACAACACATATATAACACATACTGAGAGATCATAAACTTAAAAATAATTATTACTATTGAAGTCCTATGGCAGTAGTGTTAGACTGTTACGTCATACCATGCTCTCCAGTATTCAGTACCTTTTGGCCAAGGGAACTAAGCCTGGCCATGCAAGTTTAGGTCAAGAGAATATTACCAAGTTTTATACAAGCAGAGATTTGATAAGAGTTTATAAAAGGGAACTTTTTCCTTGGAATGTTCATTCCCGGAAGCTAACTACCATGCTCAGTGGCTTGGACTAGACCATTAAATGTAATCTTGGACATTCCAGGCCCAGCTGAGGGCCCAGATGAATGTAGCTATACCAAGCAAAGCAAAAGTACCACTACATCAAGTCAACCCAAAGAACTGTAAGAAATAACAATATATCATTACTTTAGGCAATGAAATTATACTGGCTTGATATAAGCAACAGGTAACTAAAACAAAAATCTACTCAGAAAAATAATGACTTTTAAAATTCATGAACTTTAGTAATTCATCATTACCTCAAAATGTTCCTTGATAATGTATGCATTTCCAATTTTAACCTTGATGCCTTCATAATCTCCAACATCGCTAATGCAGATGGCATACCACTAAAATTAGGGAAAAAAAATCCACTTAATATTCCAATACAAAGTCAAACTGTGTTATTTATTCCTCAATAGCCATTCTCATTCAACAAAGTTATAGAGCATAAAAACTGTATTAAATATAGTGAAACATACAAATAAAAGGGGACATGGCTCTCTAGGAACTCAGGAATAGGACATGTTTACAGAAACCTGTCATACAAGGCAGAAAGTGGCAAATTATCTAAGAAAGTCACAACACAATGTGGAGATAATGAATTATGTTTATGGTCTAAGACTACTTATCTTTTATAATTTAAAATTTTTATATATTACTTAGTTTTATATTTATTTTAATTTTTATATTTAAATATAAAAAAAGATTTAATAATATTATTAAAAAATTCTTTTCGTTTGCTCCTATTTGTTTAGGCTGAAGGGCAGTGACATGATCACAGCTCATTGTAATCTCAAACTTCCAGGCTCAAATGGTCCCCCTCATCCTCTCCCACTTCCACCTCCCAAAGTGCTGGGACAAGTCTGGCCACTGTGCCTATCCCTAAGTATAAACTGAGAAGAATTTGTAATCAAATGTTGTTTTATCTCCTTGTCGTCTTTTCTAGGAGCCATGATGGCTTGACTGCACTCTAGTTTGAATGACAGAGTGAAACTCTATCTCAAAAAACAAACAAACAAAAAAACAAATAATAGGAAGGATCACTTGAGGTCAGGTGTTCAAGACCAGCCAGAGCAAGAGCAAAACTCTATCTATAACAAAAACAGTAAAAACTATCCAGGCACTGTTGTACAGGCCTGTAGTCCCAGCCACTTGAGAGGCTGAGGCAGGAAGATCATGTTAGCCCAGGAGTTTGAGGTCATAGCAAGCTATAACTAATACTGCCACACTCTACCCAGGGTGACAGAGCAAGAATGTCTCAGAAAATAATAATAGCACAGTCAAATTTATCACTTGTGACCTTATCCCTATAGCCATGGTTGAACAACCAAAACAAATTGAGACAATTTAAGTTTTTTCCCTAAGAACTGAATTCAAAATACTTTCTAAGCACAAGTGCTGTAGAAAGACTTAGGATAAGGAGGGAAAAAAACAGCATGCAGTGAAAAAGATTTTCAGATAACAGCAGAAAGGAGAGACAATTAAAGAAGACTTCAAGCAATCAAACCAATTTTTTTCCCTGAAGCCCAAATGCACCTGCCTTTGTGTTCTATGAAATACAACATTTTTTAAATGCCTCCCCTGCTTTTTTGTTTGAGCTAATTTCTATAGGATTCTAATAATTATAACCAAGAAGATCTTAATATCACTGTTGTTTAAATCTACTCTTCATTAAAGTCTTTTGTATCTGGATATGTTCCCTAAAGTAGAATTTAAAACACATACTCATTTAAATTTCTATTGACAGTATCTCTCAATACATGCCAATAGGAACAGCTTAGTAATTTTAAGCAACTCACCTTATGAACTGCAAAATTTGATTCATTTTTTTCTAGTGCTCTTTTTGCATACTCTAGGGCTTCATACACCAACAGCTTTTTCTCTTCCTCTGAGGCTTTGCAAAGCTGAGCCATATCACGTGATGCCCGTGCCAAACGCCACAGTAGCTCTGCATCTTCACTAATTTGAAATAAAATATAAAACAACCAGTTGTAGCTCACATTTAAAAACTATTAAAGGTTCTATCACTAATGAATACATTATGATCGTCTTTCGCTTAGTTAACAAGCAAGCAACATGACATTAAAAGCCATTATTGATGATACTGAACTGATTATTTTCAGATAAAATCTTTAGCTGCTAAAATTTCCCTTAAAATATTTAATATCATTCATAAATATTAATTTGCCTACAGTATCTAAAATACTGACTTCCTTAGAAAATATCTTTGTATTTAAATTCTCTGAACACTTGCCCTATAAAACTCAACATATAATTTAAGGTTTAATCTCAGCAGCACTGTGCTTCAGAGAGCTCACTCGATGGTTCATACAGTACCATAAACTACTTCACAAACAAGGTCATGTTCTGAAACAAGAATGCTCAATCCTTAGCCCCAAATACAGCACTTAGCATACAATAGGTATATGATAAATATTTATCCAATGAATGAATTGGATTACTAATGTAATCTTAAAATAAAATAAATCCTATGCTTAAATGCCATTTCAAGTAAGGGCATTGGACTACTCGAAGAACTGACATTTCAATATAATTAGAAAAGAGACGGTTAATAAGTTATTAGCCATAATTAACAGTATTTTTTAAAACCTAAAATTATTTTTTTTATTAAATTTTTGCCTTTGAGCCTACTTTTGTTTTAAATTAAAAAAGGTATTATTATTCAATGACTATGGAATAATTAATCACCTTATAGCTTACTTTTCACTAAAATGACTAGAAAATGCCAAACCAGTCACCTCAAATTATTGAGAGAAGAATGAAGAAGGAAAGACTGATTCTATGGATATTCAGGAAGTAAAATTGATAAGATCTTCAGAAGAAAACTGGTTTGGGTATCTAAGAAAGGTGGTTAAAAAGATTCAGTATTTTTTGTTTAGGAGATAAGGTAGTAGTGATCTGGAAATGGCATTTACCCTTATTTGACTTTCTAGGGTTGAATCTCTTCTCTATACCACCATTTTTCCTAACTCCTCTCTTCTCATCCCCTCTTCCAACACTGATATTTGTTGACATGGTGAACATATAATCTAGTAGTAAAAATAGAAAAAGAAGATATTTTTGGTTTTTCTTTAACACTGTGCTTCTAAAGTGACACACAGTTACCATTCAATGGTGGCATAAAATCACACTAAATCCCAGTAAATATATACCAATAAGGAATTACTTTTTAAAAATAGAAATGATAAATATACAATATAGATAGATGATGATATGAACAAATATTCAATGACTACCTTGTATGATTGAAAATGATATGGCAAAAATCTTTCAATATTCCACTAGAATAAGTAGAACCACCTTTTCTAAATCGATGAGATACATGTAGCACTTTTGAATCATTTAAGAAACAATATATTAATTCCAAGAAATAATTTTGAAGTAAACACTACAAAAATCAATCAAAAAATTTCAAACACCAAGGACCATCCATTTTTAATGTTAAATAACATATATATATATTTTGAGACAGAGCCTCAAGCTATCCCCCTGGGTATAGTGCTGTGACATCGTACCTCACAGCAACCTCCAACTCCTGGGATCAAGTGATTCTCCTGCATCCGCCTCCCTAGAAGCTGGGATTACAGGCACCTGCCACGATGCCCAGTTATTTTTTGGTTGCAGCCGTCATTGTCTGTCGGGCCTGGACTGGATTCAAACCTGCCAGCTCAGGTGTATGTGGCTGGCGCCTTAGCCGCTTGAGTCACAGTAGCCGAGCCAATAACAGAAAATTTTTAGGAACCCACAAACTTAGGCTAATTATACATTGCCTACCTTTCCTTGTATTGGGTTAGCAACTGATAAAGTTTTTCTGTTTCTCCACTTTCATACAGGTAGTCTGCTTGTTCAAGAATTTCTTCAACTTCTAAGATTATAAAGAAAAAAGACACAAAAAAGTAGGTCTTCCAAATACAGACAGCAATAATGCTAAGAAGCACAAACACTTTTACATACAAGCAAATGAGACTGGATATAGAAACTGCCTATAAGAAAAGATAAGAAATTCTGAAGAACCTAGATGAAAGTATAGTAGAAATAAGTACAAGGCTATCATCATCATCATAATAATAATAATAAAAAATATATATATATATGTTTTTTTTGCAGTTTTTGGCCAGAGCTGGGTTTGAACCCACCACCCCTACTCCTTGAGCCATAGGTGCCGCCCTAAAATATTTTTTTTAGGTTGTGTAAAATACAAATTAGAAAACTTATTCTGGTCCTAACTAAATATGACACAGACTTTTTTTTAAATGACAAAAGCAATTTCCTGTGAAGAATTAATGGGTACATATATTCTTCACACAGATAAAATCTTTGTTGTTGTTGCTGCTAAGTACCATTCACTGTAGAAAATGATGATAGAACTCAGCCATTTGCAGCACTGAATATTATTTATTTGCTTGGAATGACTTTACTTATATATACAGATATGGTTATGGAAAAAGAGTCAAATCTTCATCAAACACTTAGATGAAGCTTACTAACTACATGGAGAATCTGAAACTTACCTCATTAGCACTCTGTTCCAACCAACTCTTCTACCTAGTTTATACAAGACTACAAAGTATGTGAACCTTATTAACAATGTAATGTTCTAAAAATGCAACGTTCTAAAAACACTGTCAGTTAAGTCTAAATTTCAGGAAATTCTAATTATTATTAAACATTGCATATACCTAATTCTGTTTTCTGTAAGGGTGCTTGCTGCACTATGTAGTCCTACTTCTAAGCTAATACTCCAAAATACTCGGTTGGCCCAATGAGACCCATTTTGTATTTTCTAACTATAGAATTGTAAGATAACAAATCTGAGTTGTTTTAAATAGCTTGAGTTTGTTTCGGCAGCCACAGGAAACTAAGACAATGTTAAAGTAAATACACTGATTTGGCCTATTTGAATGTGCACATGGTAGATAAAAATAGCAAAGTTACTTTTAAATCTATTCACTGATAATTCAGACTCCCTGATAAGACTGATTATCGTCCTTCACATGACCTAGGAAGTCTACACCTCCTCACTCAAGTAATTAAAAGAAAAAGGTAGAAAGGTAGAAATATAATCAATAATCCAAATCTTTTGGGGGTGTATTCCTTTATAACCTCTCAAATCACTGAGCTGCAATTACTTTATTACACAGTATAACAATACAAGTTAAATATAATGGCTTTAAATATATATACATACACACACACATATATATACATACACAATTTTTCCTTATTTTAAAAAGGAATTTCTAAAATCATACACTGTGCAATTTATATAAAAAAAGTACACTTACTATGGTCTACAGATTCACATAGGCACTAGGGTAGGAGCATGTAGACCACTCCACATATCTGCAAATCAGCTGTTTTTTTACTTAATGCTCTGTACTTTCCTGAAAATATTTAAAAATAAGCTATGTTACTGACATAAAAAAGACCATATTCTGTAAAATGGACTTTTAATGTAAATTACTTTCAATTTAAGTAAGTCAATCTTAAAATTTAGCCTACAATGAGTGTGTGCAACTTCTCTTAGAAATTTTTGGAGAAAGCAACATTAACAATGTGACATCCTACATATATGTTAGTAAACTTTGGTTTTTTAGTTTTCTTGCTAACCTTTCTAGATTAAGAAAGGTATCTTATCTAGTTAATATATCTAGATGAGAATGAAATACTCTTCGATAATCCTCTGGCAAAGGATTATCTTGTTTCTGAGAGCTCTTATTTCAAAGAGCTCTTGTTTCTGAGGTTTCCATATATGACTTAAAAAGTAGAAAAACTAAGTATCCACATTCTAGGCTCTAAGTAGCAGCAACAGTATCAAAATTTGAGGCAAGTCTTTCACACCAGTAATACTGTGTCTAAGCAATATTAGAAGCAATGCTAGCAAAAATGCCCAGAAGTGTAACAATTATATGAGGGAACACAATCTTAGTTCTGTCAATTCATCAACAAAGGGGAATTTTTAAAAAGTATATAAAGACAACTAAGTATAACATATGAAGAACCTTTACTGAAGGTGGGCACTTGTAATTAATTGGTCTTTTAAACTCTTCCTAATAAACTTTCACGTGCACAAAGAGTACTGTGAATGTATTAGCATATTCTTTTTTAGGGGACTTTCAATTTTGTCTACTTTAAAGAAATAGTGAAGAAGTTTCTAAAGGTGTACTTCCGTTACTGCTAACAAGTGGCTATCTGGTACCACCTTGTGGTGAATACAGATACTATCATTTAAAAATATCAGTTCTATAATCCCACCCAATGAAAATGTCAGTAATATTTATGCCTTTAAATTTCAATTAGTTTTCAAAAAAGTCCCACCTCACAATATTATTTAGTCCTAGTAAATGAAAGAGAAGAAAGCTTTTTAACTGGCTCTGAATGAGAATGAAGCAGATCTAAAGAGAATTAAGCAACAATTTTGCAGATGGAAGAGATACATAAAGACAAAAAAAACTATAAGGACTGATGACATTACATTTTTATAAACATGTGAATCATTCTCTGATTTAAAAAATGTTTCTTAACTTTTTTAAAATCAATTTTGTATTTTATCAGTTAATGCTTTTTTCAAGGTCTAATAGCGTATATTTATATTTCAGGCCAGGTACAGTGGCTCACATAGCACTTTGGGAGGTTAAGGCAGGAGCACTGCCCAAAGCCAGGAGTTTGAGACCAGCTTGGGCAACCTGGGCAGTGAGACCTCCATCCCTACAAGAATTAAAAAAAAAAAAAAAAAAGTCAGGTATCGTGGAGGCTACTCAGGAGGATGAGGCAAGAGAATCTCTCCAGCACTAGATGAAGTTGTAGTCAGCTACAATCAGCACTGCACTCCAGCCTGGGTGACAGAGTGAGACCCTGTCTCAAAAATAAATAAATAAAGAATTAAAAATTAAAAGTTACAGGCGGGGCGCCTATAATCCTAGCACTCTGGGAGGCCCAGGTGGGTGGATTACCTTAGCTCACCGGTTAGAGACCAGCCTGAGCAAGGGCAAGACTCCATCTCTAAAAACAGCCAGGCTTTGTGGTGGGAACCTGTGGCCCCAGCTACGTGGAGAGGCAAGAGAATCAGCTGAGCTCAAGAGTTTGAGGTTGCTGTGAGCTATGATGTCACCACACTCTACTGAAGGCAACAAAGTGAAACTCTGTCTCAAAAAAAAAAAAAAGTAAAATTTTCTGTCTCACTACAAAAAAGGTGATAAATTATGTTAATTACCTGGATTTAAACATTCCACATTTTATACACATATTAAAGCATCACAATGTAACAAAAATATATATACAATTATTACTGTCAATTAAAAAAAATTCTAGGCCAGGTGTGGTGGCTCATGCCCGTAATCCCAGCACTCTGGGAGGCCGAAGGGGGTAGAATGCCTGAGCTCATGAGCTTAAGACCAGCCTGAGGGCTCGGCACCTATAGCTCAACCAGCTAAGGCGCCAGCCACGTACACCTAAGGTGGCGGGTTCGAATCCCCAGCCAGGACCCGCCAAACAACAATGACGGCTGCAACCAAAAAATAGCCGGGCGTTGTGG